AAACAGTCATCCCTGAACATGAACGGCATTTCTCGTTTTCCACAAAAATGATGATCATGGCAATCGATCTGTATGAAGATGAAGCACCTGCTAGCTTCAGCCATTTCACAGTTTTTGCTCTGAACAAGCTTCGACAATTTGTGGATAGCAGAAAGGAATTGACAGCTCAATCCTACAGATTCTTTGTTGAACATGCCTACAATCAATTCTTTCAGCATGAAGCATTCCATCAATCTGCAAGAGCAAGGACAAAGGTCAGGGAATGCGGTTCAGGTGACTTCCACACATCTACAAAGCTCGATGGCTACATCTGGGTAGCTGGAAAGGACAAGATCGCTCACATCCCAGGATCAGAGCAACAGAATGTGGACATGGAAGGTCACGATGATGATGATGCTGAAGATGATTTGGAGTTTTTGCCAAGACTACAAGTTTTTGTCAGGAAAGAGGAGGAAAAGGCATCAGGCTCTCAGGAAAGAGAGGAAGAAGGTGTATGCTCTCAAGAAAGAGAGGAAACACAACCACAACAAGAAAGTGAGGTATTACCTGATGCAAATCCTCGAAGAAATATGGAAGATCGACAGGGACTGTTCTTAGTCAGGCAACTCAAACCAGAGCACAGACAGATCCTCCATGATATTACACTCGCAGGCCAATCAGTCCTCACAGGAGATGATCTTGAAGGAGGTCAACCCCTTGAACGTGGTGACATAAGCTTCTTCTCATTATGGTTGATGATGTCGGCATTATCAGATGCTTCTTTTTCAACATTTATGGAGCAGTATGCACCTATGATGGGTTATGAGATCTCTTACGACAAGTACTATGAGTTCAAACAGGATATTGACAAAGTTCTCAAGGACAATGAACACCTTGGCGCAGAAAATTTCTTTGGAGCAGAGGATCCTCAGATGGTGGACGATGATCCAGACACTCCACTTCCAGATCTTCAAAGACCAGGCGCAGGTGATCCTGAGTACAAGCATACCATTGAAAGTTTGAACATTGAGGACAAACATATCATTTTGGAAACTGATGATGACAAATTGGTTGAGTGTACATTGAAATGGATCAGTATGTGCAATCAGAATGTTCAACGAAAGATCAAGGAAAGTTTTGTCAAACCAGAAGAACGACAAGAGGAAGAAGAAAAAGAAGAGGATGAAGATGAGGAGATTGCTGTCGAAGAAAGAAGAAGAAGAAAAAGACACACAGGAGCCACATGTCCCAGCTGAAGGCTCTTCAGAGAAAGAGGAATCAGCTCCACCTGAACGCTCCTCAGAAAAGGAGGAATCAGGGGAGAAGAAGACAGACATTCAAGATGATGAAACAGCTCCTGAAGTAAACCTGCAATTCGACTTTACTATGGTCAAGATATCACTGGAAACGAAGATGATTCAGTTTTTCGAAAATTGAAGGATTGTTTTTCAGATGGTTACCATGGTGAATGGGCAGGATTTTACAACAAAGGTTATCCAGCGTCTTCGAAGCATCGACATATGTTTTGGCATGTTAAGTACAGGAAGACCATGTCTCCACATCATGATTTTTGGTACCATCTTACAGATGACCAGTTGATGGTTGAGTACATTGCCAGACACAAGAATCAGGATCCACAACTAGAATTACAAGAACTCAATCAGCGCATTGAATATGGTTGTAGTGATCCAAGGATGCATCCTCTTCATCAAGACAAAGCAGAAAGATCCTCAAAAGAAGCAGAAAAGAGGATTGATGACGATTTTGGAAATCTCACAAGGGTACTCCAAGATTACGTTGAGGACCACAAGGTCTTGCCTTACTGTATGATCTTGCATAGCTTGGCTTACAGATATTTAGGTGGAGGCCTATCAGACCCAACTTACAAGGATGCCGAATTTCCATACAGATCCTCTCCACAGATAACAGCAATGTTTTGGAATTTGGGAAACTGGTGCAGAAACAGATTTGAAAAATGCCCGGTTCCAGAAAGATTTCAACAATTCATTCCACACATTGACTACACTATCGATGAGGATCATGAAAAAATTGATGAAACCAAATCACAGTTCAACAATTACTTCATCAATGTCATCAAGAACTTTGGAGGACATCTTTTCATGAATTGCGAGGCTGGTTCATTGTATCCTCACAGAGAAAGACTCGACGAGGTTGACTTTAAAACTTCCTTCAATGATTATCATGACTTGATGGTGGCAGCTCGCCTTGGAAAGGATGGCTATATCAAGCAAATTGCTGGATATCACACAGAGGACAACGACACACGAGTTCGACAAGTCTCATGGGCAATCTTTGAAGTATCTTGGGGAAAGACAAAGGATCGAGATACAGATGAGATTGTTGACTTGACAAGAGCTAGGATGAGGATGACACGTGTGTGCGTTTATCACGTCGGACAGAAGTATGCATCAGACTCTGCTGGGATTGTTGGTGAGTGCTTAGCTGTTATGGCTTTTGAGTGTGCCAGATATCAAGTTGACTTCATCGCAGGTGATGGAAACAAGGCATGCTATTACAGCACACCAAAATCTCCAGGTGTCCCTACATATCAACACAGCCTTATCCAATTCTGGATTAACAGAATGGTAGGTGTTGCAACACAAGCCATGCGCAAGAATTTTGATCCAACTTGCCCTCCAATCAGGGTCAAGCATTTCATTTCTTGCAGTTATCGTGACTTGGATTTTCTTGCAACGCACTTGGGTGGCATTACAACAGCAACATACACCGACGAGCTCATGAACAAGACAAATGGTAAAGGTGATTGTTGTATGTTAACAGTTGTTGAGTGGGGTCATTCACGTTTGATGTGTGAGGAACACCCAGAAGACTTTGAGGATGAAGATCACATGAACTATGTGGGTGAATTTTACTTCAAGGTAAATGAAACTTGCTTACATGGTGATCACAACATCTTCATGGTTGCTCCAAATGATCGCGATGCTCATAATCCAATTCTTATCCATCTTGATCCTTCTGATATGTCATGGAATGAACGACATCATTACAAACAGGCCTACAAGAAGAAGCAGTATGCTGATTCAAGAAAGGAAAGACAGAAGGAGAAAAAGAGAAAGGCATATGAAGATCAAGCATCGACGTATCAGGGCAACACAGAGTGGGGTGGATCCTCATCTTCAGCGTCCAGACCATGGAGATCAAGTGAGTGGCGATGAGTGAGTGTACACTTCTTTAATTGAAGATAACACAGCATGAGAAGCCGTGTGCAGTTTTTCTGTGCGTTCAACTTATTTCACACAGATGGCATATACTCTTTTAGATAGAGATAATGCCACAAGTGTCTGAACTTCAATTTAATGTAAAATAGAGACTCTTGTAAATAGAGATACTATATACATTTATCTCCATGAATCATCCGGCGAGCAGACCACTCCGAATGGAGCGAACTTCAAAAATTTACCAACTTCGATTTCAGTCCATTGTTTGCTTGAATGAGCAACTTTGGAGATCCGCTATTTCCGTTTATTTCGTGATTTGGTCAATTGTTTTCGTATGACCTGAATTTCTGAATCTTGCGAACCCGAACTTTTCAATTCGAACTTTCACCGGTAGAGCGAGGCATTTTGCCTGTGGAGAGACCGTGCGCGAAGCACCATTGGTCACTACTGGAAAAATTAGCGAATCCGCTGTTCTTTTTCGACATGTCCTTAGGACATTCGCTGCTTTCACGTGTTTTTCAATTCGAAGCCACTGCGTAACTCCGGTTTCTTTTGCTATTTGCCATTGTGTAGAGAAGTCAGGAAGATACTCTTAATACCAATTGGGTACGGCAAGGCGTAGTGCTCTACTCATTGCTTTTGAATTTGTGCCTGTGTTTTTGTTTCGACCTAATACCTACATAGGTACATGCATGAGTATTGAGCACATTTATATGCGCCCTTCAAGGCTCAAGAGGTATATAGAGTAACCCTGTAGACAAGCACTGACCGGCAACAGGCTGAGAGTAAAAGAGTGCTGTCATTGGGGAAGACGCCTTAGCTGATCTTGAAGTAGACGCTAGGGCCCCTCTTCACCCCTCCCCCCCCCATTCGATTCCCCCCTGGTCCGCATTTTTTTCTCTCTCTTTTTCTCTGACTCTGTACCTACCTCCTTATCCATCTATCTATCGATCTATCTATCTAGTTGTCCATCTATGCATGTATTTATCTATCTATCCTTGGATCTATCTATCTATCTATCTATCTATCTATCTACCTATTGATCTATCTATTTATCTATCTGTTTATCGATCAAGGTAGCCATCGATCTATCTATTTATCGATCGATGCTTCTATCTCTCTATCTATTTATTCATCTATTTATTTATTTATAGTTTTATCTATCTATCTATCTATCGATGTATTGATCTATCGATCTATCGTGGATGTTCTAGTCCCATTGAGGCCGTGCCGGGGAATAGAGACTCGCAATGTTTACGTCCCGCACATGCGTGCGCTCGCGCGCGCGCGAGGCGCGCGCGGAGAAGCACCTGCATGCAGGATGGTTCACGCGCGCGCGCGGCGCGCGCGCGCGCGTGAAGTTACTTTACATTTGACATTATGTTTCTGATTCTATTCCCACAAAGCTTTTTTGGGGGCTAACATTTTCTTCTGCAGGAGGTTTGAGTGAAGAGAAGTATCAATCTCAGTTTGGCAATATTTTTCCTGTTGCTCTCTTTTGCCCCCCCCTACCTTTCGTCCCCCCCCTCTCAATAGATAGAATGTACGTGTATGTTTCTTTAAATGTGCGTTAAACTGTATTTTGTATACTTCTGAAAATATGGACCAGTCGTTGTGAATTACTATCCATAGCAATTCTTTTCCAACGATCAGTATTTTTTTACCTGCAGTACGGTTTTCTTCTTTCATGTGATAGTTCGATGGCGTCAGATGACAACTTGCTTTGTCATCAAACACGGCTGGGAAATCTCGGAGCCATTGTTTTGGTTGATGGCAAAATCATTAAAGCCGTGGCAATGATCACCTGCCGACATCTGGGGCAGGCTGCAACACGTGCATTTTCCATGGCTCTGACATTTTGTCTTCCAACTACCAAGCAATGACAGGGCCTGGGCAACTTGGCCGGAGCTTCCCCATTTCTCGTAAGTAACCAATGCTGTGAATCACTTGTAAAGTCAGAGAGGTGTGGGAGGAGCCGGGTATTATGAAACCTTGAAGATATTGAAAAAAAAATGGGCACTGATGCAGCAACTGGGCACTGATGCAGCAACACACCGTGTGCCACATGTAGTGTGCTGATTTTTTCGATGGACATGTGCTATGCATTTGGTATGTGTATATCAGATCGTATACGTACTTGGATTATCTTGGATCATCCTCCCAGGTCCCAGATACTTGGATGTTTCTATAATCACCAGTCCAAGGTGAAGCGGTTTTATGATGGCTTATTCCTGTGTTGCTTTACTGTGGATTTCATGTTCTTTGCCAACACTGCCGAAAAATCCAACAGCGTGTCGCGCCACGGCTCCCAGCAACAAGGTACTTGATCGATACAACCCAGAATACAGTGGCGGCGACTGCATCTTGGCGTTAGCCGCAACGGACATCTATAAACAACTCGTGAAGTATGGAAAAGGGCCAATGCTTAAGTCACCGGAGAGTTGATGTCGGGGTAACAACATGGTTCGTGAGTCAAAACTATGAAACTCTGTGAAACTACTAATTACTAATGATTACTACAGTAATGTATTCAAAAACCTTGGCAACACTTTGTAGGACCTGCAGCTCCGGAATGTTCCAGAACCTGGAGTCCTGCGTCATCAAACCATCAACAAATAACATAGAAGCCGGAAGCCCCGCGGTGTTGAGACATGACCAATCCAGACCAAACCCACATTTGTTTTTTCTCTTGGTGATGCTTTGAACTCAACAAGTGCTGAGGAAACTCAGTCTGTGGCTTATAGCACCGGCTGCTATTTGATTCGGGAAGTGTCCTGCGAATTCTGCGAAAACAAGCTAGGCAACTTGTGGGGGGGAGGACCTGCGCATGCCAGCCCTATGGTCATTTAGTGATTTTAGTGTAGCCCAGACCCAATCTATCCAAATCTAATGTGCACACAGTGCACACATTCAAACTATGTCAATCTCCATGTGGCTCCTTTTCAACAGTCAAGCCATGAGCCCGAGTTGAATGGTCATTTTTCCCCATGTCTCCTTTTTTTCCATGGAAAACGTTCTATTCAGCAAGGTATTTCGGTATTATGCTCTTGGAAGGACGAGCCGAATCAAACAGAAAATGTCACCACTATGGGTGCCCCACGACCCGCATCACCCATCGCCAGGCGTCACCTACGTTGTGGCGCCTGATGAGAAGCAGGAGTACAAGGTGATTGGCGCTGGGCGCGGAGAGTTTTTTTGGAGCGCGGAGAAAGTACGGGTGAAGCAGGAAGTCAAAGATCTCAGATACCTTTCAAAATCGCCTGGCATCGGCAGAATATGGCAGAATCAATAAATTGAATAGTTTTTCTGGCTAATTTCTGAAGGATGGGCGTGCCATGTTCGCATTTCCAGGGAGGATTGTGTATGTTGCTTGCTCCTGCTCAACAGCAAGTGCACATGATGCTCATTACTGATCAGTTTCCATGTGATGCTAGGTACCAGACTAAATTTTAGCAGCATGGATACTAAACAGATGAATGAAGATGGAAACCACTATGCAAATCAAACGCTACTTGAAGCAACATTGGCTTATTGTGATGGTTCAAACTATTTCCCAGATAGCACTGCTCATTCTTGACTACTCACCCCATAAGAATTCTCAAACATTTCAAGCAATCTCCGCATCCGCAGGTTGGCAAGTTCTTGCTGGGTGCAGACAGGTTGATCTTGCCACCGGGGGTTACTCATCCCAAGGCGCGGAAGCTGTTCATCACAGTGGTCTGATGCTTCTACGTTTTTCTAGGCTATTCTGAGTGTGATCGGGACACATGCTGATACCTTCTGATACCCGACTCGTTTAGCATAGCTACATAGTTGTTGTGTTGGCATTGGCGGTCTATAGTCTATAGTGTTTTTTTCCGTCACATGTTTCAAGTCCTTTGCCCCAGGCCAAGTAAGCCAAGGCAGGACAGATGTGAATCGCCGCGCTGTCTCCACAAGACTTGTCCAGCTGCGCGCTTGCTGCGATTGCAGTTTTCTCGAGCAGAGCCTATCCTAATTCGATGGTTGGCACTGATGCAACTGTGATGCAGAAGTTGATCACAATCCAATTGTAAATATGCAAGGTGTATCAAGGTGTTTGAATGACCACACAGGCCACAGTACTGCCTGCCTGCTGCCTGTGTTTTTTGCGTTTGATGATTATCCACTCGGTTTGGTTCTGACAAGAAGAAAATGATGGGGATATAGAACTGGTTTATTTGTTGCACTGAGACATTGCAATACACTGCATGCGCGTCTCATTACTCCACATATAGCTTGTTCTGCAAGCTCTAGGGCTAGGGAGCATCGACCGGAATGATATGGAATAATTACTTGTGTCCAAGCAATGGATGACTTATACCATGGCAGCCAAAGAGACCGTTACACAGTTTTCCAGAGTCCCTGTTTCCCGGCTTAGTTTCCTTCATTTCACCTTGGCAAACGTGCTTGAACTTTCGAGCAGCAGGTCACAGTGGTTTCTGAAGCGGTCGTTGAAACTGGGTGAGTGCATCACCCCATACCCTTTCGAGAGCAGAGAGATCACAAGCAAACCAAAGCATCAAGAATATCATTGTTGTGCTAGCATGGCAGACCACCCAGAAGAACTGAATCTTTCAAACTATACACTATCAAGATCTATCAAGTCTATACTATATACATAGATACATATGCATAAGTATGCACATGTTGATATGCACATGAGCACACACACATATATGTTTATATACATTATACATATAATATATTTATCATACTTATAATTACTTATACTATATATATATATATTTATTTATTATTATATATGATGAATATATGCATGCATGCGATGTGTGTGCGTGTGTGTGTGTGTGTTAAAGGGTGCCTAAACTTCTTTGTCTAAACACGTTTCAATTTCATGTTGATATCCTCATGTTGCACGTCCTGCAGAAAGGGTTCATGGCATTTGCCATGAACTAAAAGGATGCACCACACCCTGGTCGTATTGCACTGAACTGGGCAAATTTTGGACAGTGCAGGAAGATGAAGAAAGGGTCTTCCAGTGGTTCAGTTGCTGAATCGAGAGAGGGCTACACATGGCTCAAGAAACATCAGGCATAGCCTCCCGTGAAATCTGGATGTCAGGTCGATGATGGTGTTGAAGCTGTTGAAGGTTTGCCCAGATAGTAGAACAGCTTTCATCGCAGAGGATCTTCTGAAATCTCGCACAGGTTTTTCAGCCCTGCGGTTTTAAGCCGACTCTGTACAAATGCTTTTTCTGGGCGACGACCCCACCTTGCTTGTCTGCCCAGAGAAGAGTGCCATTTGAATGGCCAGACAAAAAGGGCTCTGGACAGGCAGATCAGCTTCAAAATCTCCCTTTACTGTGAGATAGTCATTTGAAGGGGCTTATTCACTTATAGCAGTGAGGAGCTCAAAGCAACCTGATTCAATCTTGACAATCGAATCTTGACACAGAAACCGGGTTTTTGGGTCCCAAAATGTCCCAAACACCGGTACCAAGTTGGGGTAAAGACTTTCAAATAGAGTCCCCGGTTACCCAGCTGTTAGCCAAACATTAAGTCGAAAATCCATTGAAGCCATATACCTCCGGTAATTGAAGCTAGCTATGGAGGCATTCATAGGTGATGAATTTCCTATCAAACACGATGATTTTCCGGCAATTCCTGCAGCAGAGGTGCAGAGTCTTCCGACGGAAGTGCGGGCTGTGACGGGGCCGGCGGATGCTGCCAAGCCTCAGTGGTCACAGGTGATGCAATTTGAGGCCATGGAGATATAGCATGATATAGCTTGATAGATGTCATGGGTGTTTGGAAAATATAATTAGGAGGATCTCAGAATCAAAAAAAGAACCTCTTGCAAAACACAACAGAACAGAACTTCGAATGTTTGGTCTCGGAAGGGTTGGAAACTTAAATTAAACAACGAGATGCGTGTAGGTTTGAGCTATGTTGAGCTTATACGTGTGAGCCTAATTGTGGACACATTGAATTAATTGCTCCATTTTGAGTTTGGCTGAGAGCAGGGATTACAGGGATTTGGTTCTGCGGGCCTTCGAGCATTCTTCATTCATATAATCAATGAATGTTATCATATATATATATGCACACACACACATATATATATATACGTAAATACATGTAAATACTATATAATTATTTAAATAAATACGTGCATACATACATACATACATACGTACGTACGTACGTACGTACATACATACGTACGTACGTACATACATACATACATATATATATATATATATATGCATGTGGGCCCATGTGGCGCGGTGGTTTCAGCCCACCCGGTGAAGATACGGCATGATACAACTATATTCTTGGCGCCGCAGATTCCGGTCTACATCGGAGATTCCCGCGTGCAGATCAGCCCGGACCATCGCGTGGGGACCAAGATCATCCAAGATCACTTCCACAGCCTTTTCCCAGAATCCAAACATGTCAAAGATGTTCAAACTTGTCTAAATACAATGAATATGTTGGGCCAAACATGTTTGAACAGACCTCGGGTAATTGCTAATCATGAGCTAGTTGCTGTGAGCTTCTTGGTCCTGCAGCTCAACAAAATCGTTTCCACAGGTTCGCCCCTCAATCAGGCTGAGGCAGATTTGCCGGAAGGCGATTGAGAGAGAAAAGGTCATGTTGAATCCGCTTCACTAGGGTTATTTACAGTTTGTAAATGGTGCTTGGTACTTATGTTTGCACACAGCAAGCTTCTGTGGCCGTGCGAGGTCTGCATTTTCAGCTTCTTTCCCGCTCACAGCACCTTAGCTTTGACTTGGTTTGGCCTTGGTGACTGGTGAAGCTGCTCATGGTTGACCACTCAGCGGTTACATGTCTCCGGCCTCTCAGGGGTGAGAAGCCAGTGGCAGAGCTGTTCCTTCCTGTGGGCGATCTGACGGAGGGGAAGGTGGCCTGGGCGCAGCTGATTTTAGGTGGCTAATTCATCATTGATCATCTTTTTTTTTCACAAAAGCTAGTTTACTCTTGCTTCAGCAAGGCCTCCCCTCCCCCTAAGCTCCCCGGGAGCGGTCTTGGAAGCAGATGGTCATGGGCTCATATCCTGCCAGGGGCGTGCTGAGCTCTCGACAATCTGTCCTAACATGACCTAACCATATCAAAGCCCCATCATATTTCTAACCTTAGCTTTCGTGCACCCCCCCCCGGGCCTCAAGTATTTTTTTGGTGCCTTATTTTTGCTCAATACAATACAACACATACCATCCATGCATGAATGCATGCATGCACAGATACATACATGTATACAGTATACATCTAAGGTGCTGCTGCAGGCAGGTCTTGATGCAGGAGGGTGTAGAATTCTTGGGTTGATGCAGGAGATGGACATATTTATCATATTTGTCACCCTATAATGTAGTGCACAACGCAATGCTAAAGGCACGTCAAGCAAGGGGAACCGTCTTCGATTTCATAACGTAGTGAATTTGGTGGATGCCACCCTAAAATGACAGTACTCCAGGCTCATAGGGTCATTGTGCATGTAAAGATGATGTTTGCTCGAAACAGCTTTCAACCATAAATCGACCAAGCCAAGGTCAGACCCTTTGAATTGACATTGCTGGACATGAAGGTCGCTGGAGAGATGCTATGATATGCATGGATATGCTGGTTGATAGTGACAGAAGTTTGGTATGAGCCGTTCCTGCATGTAACATCAACCTGGGGTTCGATGCGATCACATCATACTAGAGGGGATTTGAAGTAGAGAATGCTTTTTGAAGTTCAAGAAAGAGCTTGTTCTCAAATGGTTATCAAGTGGTTGGGGGGTTTTGATGTTTGCATGTGAGCCTGCATATTCTCATTATGTCTCATATTTCTCACCTTGTCCAACTACTGGTAAGTCTTGCAATGTCCTTTTCTCTGTCAAGGCAACAAGGGTGTGTTTCTATGGAATCTTGAGCAAATTCCTCAGTCCCAGCACAGCGCTGGACAGGGGGCGGCGAAGTCAGAGGCACATGCTTGTCCAGAGGGCTCTACCAGTGGCATCCAGTGGTTACAAGTCACAACCTGGTCACCTAAGTTGACCCATACTAAACGCAGACCATGGGGGTTCAGAAAATATCGAAAATAACAATTCAATGGCAAAGTGAAAACTGACACTTGTTATCAACCTGGAATCATGGCTGCCTACTTCGTTTTTTTTAATCCAAACTCTGTCAGAAGATTTCGTTGTTCTCAGGGCCGAGCCGCAAGTCTTTGCCCGGTAGCGCAGTGCTTCTTTTTTTTCATTCTGGATTCTGGGTGCGGGCAGTGCCTTCGCAGAAAGGCGATACTGGCGATACTGCAGGTTTTCCAAGATGAGAGTCAGCTCCATTATTTCGTTCCATTCAAGTATAATTAATTTGAGATGATTTACAGTAACCCAGCTTAAAGCCCAGCTTTAGGTCTGGCCTTCCAGGCTGTGGTGCCCGGATCCTCAGCGCTCGTGGATGCGGTCGTTTCACTCCTTGCCCCAGGATGTAGGACTTGGTGATGGATGTGGGTGAGATGATGAAATGATGGCGACATGATGGTGAACATATTGATGTAAAGTAATAAGGCATGTGCAGAACTTGGGGTTGATGCATTGACTGTCATTTGATGAGCGCTCATTCTTGGTATCTTCCTGTCAGCTCTGGCAGCAGGGGCGCTGTCAGGTATACCAATGGTATGACAACCACTCCGTATGCTTGTCATTTACTGCATGTGGCCTGGCCAGCTGCCATTAACTCAATACTTGGGCTGTCCATTCCTTGATGCTGTTGTTTTTTTTCGAATGGCTTAATCCACCCAGGTAATTTTCCATACCAAGATTCTTTTTTTTTCTGGCGGCATCAAGAAACTTCCAGGCAGATATCTTGAGGCTCCATGATTAATCAGTGTATAGTGTAATTATACAGTATACATACATACATACATACATACATACATACATACATACATTACATACATACATACATACATACATACATACATACATACATACATACATACATTCATACATTCATACATTCATACATTCATACATACATACATACATACATACATATGTTACATACATACATACATACAGACAGACAGCCAGCCAGCCAGCCAGCCAGGCAGGCAGGCAGGCAGGCAGGCAGGCAGACAGGCAGGCAGACAGACAGACAGACAGACAGACATACACACATACATACACACATACATACACACACATACATACATACATACATACATACATACATACATACATACACACATACACACATACACACATACACACATACACACATACACACATACACACATACACACATACACACATACAGTAATGCAGTAATGCAGTAATGCAGTAATACAGTAATACAGTAATACAGTATATATACATATATATATATAGACATATAGACATACGTAGTGCGTATATCCTCAGGTATCATTCCAACACATTTCACTGGGTGGTCACTATAGTCGCAGCTTGGGCTTCAGCCTCCCGCCCTTCGGCCCGCAGTGATCCCCCTGGTGCTATGGGGGATGCGGCACTGGACCAACTGATCTTCAAAAAGACGGAGGGCAACAAACGTGGCATCCCTGAGGCGGCTGCAAAGCTGCAAAGCCTTGGCGGAGATATGAACATGGATGGAATGATCCATTTGCGATGATGATGATGATGATGATGATGATGATGATGATGATGATGATGATGATGATGATCACAGAAGTGTTAGATACCTCCATGACAGGCCATTTTCATTGAGAATGTAGAAGAGATGTGCGGCTTGGCTGTCAAAGTCGGCTTCGGGTGTGGCAGGCTGGACGTTTGCATTGCCGCTTGCAATGGTTACGCAACACAACCTTGGAACATGTTTAAACACCTCGGAGCCGCAGCCATTTTGTTTCATGAATTCCTGGTGATTTATCTACTCTCCAAGATTATAGATTCTCCAAGTTTATTCTGCTGGACAAAGGGCTCTGAACGGCTCCTGCTGAGCAACAAGTGAACATGTTTCTTCCGAAGATTTTCTATTGGAACATAGGGTGTTTCCATTTTCTATTGGAACATAGGGTGTTTCCATGTGTTTTCCACGTCCAGGTGTTGCCCCATGCGTTTTCTCTCCTTGCCGAGGCAAGGAGAGGGAGCCCACCGAAGTGGTTGGACGGCTCCAAGATCTACACAGCGCTCCTGCTGAGAGGGAAGGGCTTCGGGCCGCCTTTCTCCAATGGGACTTTAAAAGTGAACAGAGCCAATACTACACCGTAATTTCAGGGGAGCTATTGCATTCAAGGGGATAATTAGTAATTATATAATATAGTTCTAATGGGAATGTTCGAAAGATAAACAAATAAAACCAATGATGTGTGGAATCAGATGGGTTTGGAACTGCCATTTTTCGTGAAACGATTTGTTAAAGTCTTGGCTGGCGGCCCATCACCAATCAAGTGACATTTGCATTTCAGGTCTCTCAACCGCCTTGAGGTCACGCTGTTGTAGCGCAAAGCGATACAGCGGAACAGGGCAACTGAAAGTCGTCCAACTTATAATAAACTAGAAACCAAACATGTGGCTCTTGACGGGGTTTCTGTATGTTTCTGTCTTTGAACATGAAAAACATTTTTTAAAACAAAAACTATATAAGAAACTATTCCAGAGTCACCTAACTATTGAGTTGGGTCTATGTCGGATTTACGTTTGGTGATGTTTGATGTTTGCACAGCCAGGTAAGTACCAGTACATGCAGAGCTCCCTGACGGCCCAGCGTTCCTCCCTGAAGACCAAGCTGCCTGACATCGTGTCGGCCTTGGATGTGGTGCAGCACCTGGCAGCTTGGGCTATGGCGCAAAAAACCAGGAGGGGTGGAAGATAAAGGGTTGTAGGATGCCAGCTGGTGGTGAATATCAATATTGTTTTAAGTTTATCAGTTTTCTACTGTAGATATGTTGAGATATCTATGATTCTATGATATGATATATGCTTAGTATTGCTTAATTAATGATTTTAATGCACATTTTTAGGATACAACATTGCATCAACGTATGTGTGTATGTGGGACTGTAGCTGGATTATCAGTGACGCATACAATAATTGCATTGCTGCGTGTGTATAGTCAATGTTTGCATGAGCATAGTGCGTATGTAGTGGGAGAGCGCGTGATCACAATCTATCCAGTTGGAATCCCGTTTGTTTCAACCATGCGCTTTTGGTCCTCATACACGAGCAGAAGCAGATCCAAGCTGAGTAAGATAATATATATATAGTTGCATACATTTGCAAGATAGAGCATTGACAGTTGTAGTCTACGTGTTTTGTTCCGAGATGATGACGTTTGTACCACTGTTGGGCTGAGTCTCTGGGATGCAGACCAATTTCATGAACTTGTTTGCTTTTCAACCCGATGGAGCAACTTGAAGGTTCGTGACGGCTGTCTGTGTTTGAAATTCTGGCACCCCAAAAATTGATGGTTTATCATTCAAGTTTCTCATATTTAAGCCCCAAAAAATTCCACCCATCGTTCCCAGGTGGAGAAGAAGGAAGAGGCAGCAGAATCGACATACACATATCAGCTCCATAGCTGCCAGTGTTGGTCAGTTGGAGCTGTTGGAATTCCCGATGTTCCGGGAATTCCAGGGCATGTGGAAACAATGCGGAAAACATGACTGATGCATGTCTGGGTGCCTGCATGGCGGCTGGTTACAGGTGGAAACATGTGCATTTTTGACTCGTAGATGTCGTCATAAATCATCGTGGATCATCATAGATTATTTGCAGTGAGATGTTTGGCTAGGGTTTGGTAGGGTTCCCCGTTTTGTTTGCTTTAGCACTGAGTAGTGCTTTTTTTTACTTGGTCAATAGATCATGGCAGAACAAAAAAAATGGGCTTCTCAGAGCAACCCAGCCCAGCAACCCGAGGCTGGCAGAGAATATTTGGTCCAAAGCAACAGCAGCTCCTAGCGATACCGTGTGTTTGTGGCTAGGCCTGCGGCCTTTTTCTACTGCTTCATGACCATAGCTGCCATAGCTGAAGGATTGTGGAGTCCTCCCTGTTGCTTTGGGAAGCTCTTATTTTTAGAAAATATTGTACCCTCTGGTAATTTAACATAACTATATGGAAAATCACCATTTATAGTGAGTTTTCCAATGAAAAATGGTGATTTTTCATAGTTAAGTTATGTTAGTTTACCAGAGGGTACAACTTTTTGACAACCTCGTGAACCTGGATGAACTTGTTCCAAGACAATGTCACGTAACTTCTTCGAGCCCTGCCATGCCCTGCCACAGCTTGGAGGTGCCAATTGCATGTTGGAGTACAAGTTGGACGAAGCCATAGAGCTCCTCCGCACCAATGAGAGCAATGCGCGGACCACACTGAAGAGCTTAGAGGAGGAGCTGCTTGCGGCCATGGGTACTGTTGGTGTTGGTGGTGCTTGGAGACATTTGGAGACCATTTTGCAATTTGACACTTCGACTCACTTCGACACTTTGTGGGTTTGAGCTTTTAAGGATATGTTATGATATGTGGATTTGAAGGACGTGTGAACATCCCATTGGTGAGTGGCATTGGCAAGAAAAGGCACTTGAGTAAGATAAGAAGCATGTTTTTTTTCTCTCGGCTTCCAGTTGAAGGACATGGCATTCCTCAGAGATCAGCTGCTGGGTGTTTCACTAGCTGTTGGAAGATTGGGCATGGATCATAAATCAGGCCACTGGTAGAAAGAGAACACAACATGTGCGGCAACGAGGAAGCTAAAGGCACATGCAGGTATATTGATGATCTACATGGTTTGGTTTACAGGCATCTCATGTGTGTTTCCTTTGCGTTGGTGGCTAATATGAAGATTCCATTTGCCTTTTGATATTTGGCTGGAGCGAGGGGGTCAGGGATCAGGGATCCAGCTCGTGGGCAGCTGGTGGGCCTAATCATTTGGTGTTTGCTGCTGGTGAGGGAAGATATGCCCATTGTATACTGACTTTTCTGCTCCGGAAGTGGGTTCCTGAAAATTGGCCTGTGTATATATTAGATTTTGGTGATGGCCACAGCGGAAGCGGCTTGAGCCGATATTCTCATTCAATGATCCAATTTACTCGACCAGCATTCGTTTGTTTGGCAAATGCTTTATTGTAGATTCACAACTGCAACTTTTCAGTTCATGCCCTGTGCCTGAAAATGGGCCCACTGCCACACATTTCTAGTCATTTCATGTCATTGAATGCCTATTGACCTATTGCCTATTTCTGTTTCGACTGTTGGAAGATGTTGGAACACTTGAATGTTGCCTATTGATTGACCTATTAATTACATGTTGGCCTATTACATGTTGCCTATTTATTGTACCCACTGTTTGAAGAACGCCGCAGATCCAAGGATCACCACCACAGAGGTGAACATTGCGAGAACTCATAACTTTGGGGTGAAGCAGAGACAAGCCGCCAAGGCGGGATGAGGTCAGATGTTGGGTAGAAAAAATGGGATCCTATATAATATAAATTAATATAATATAGGGAACCAAATAAACCATTGAAGCATAGGTAGCTTTGCTAATCTTTGCCATAGATATAGAATGATATAATAATGATATAGAATGATATAGACCGATTTGGAATGATACGGAATGTTGTAGAATCGTGTAGACTGATATAGGCATGTGGCCAGAGATGCTAAGGTATGGCTGGCTTTTCTGGCATGACATTTTGTTTATAGAAGATTTTCTTTATGGAAGATCTCATTCAAAATCACATTCTCTTTGGGCCATGATGATATGTTGGAATCACCTGTTGGGGGCGAAAACATTGAGGCCTTCAAATCCGAGATAATCCACTGTTTGTATCACCGATGTATACCGTTGTGATGTAGTCTATGTTCATGTTCAGCCAGTCAAACCTATGGGAAAGTTCTGATGATACCAAACCCTCGACATTATCAAATTACAAAGAGTGTACAAGTTGCTTAGCAGTTGGCAATCCACTAATCTATTCTATCATTTTATCATTTTATCATTTTATAATTCTATCATTCTATCAATCAATCTATCTATCTATCTATCAATCTATTGATTTATCTATCCATCTATTTATCTATGTATCTATTTACTTACATGTCTAGACTCAAGACTAGACATGACTTTCCTATTACATGACTTTCTTATTGGAGACTTGAGTTCAGCTCCTTCTGCCGCGTTTCAAATCCTCGTTTCAGATGTGTCAGTCTGCTCAGTGTTTCGTTCCAGCCTGCAATGCCCAGGCAAAAGAAGCCAGCAAATCTTGACGCAGGCGCCGCAAAGGATCTCTTCATATGTACATATATACGTTTATAATAAATTGATATCAGGATAGTAGTAGTTGTAGTAGCAGTAGTAGTAGTAGCAGCAGCAATAGCAGTAGTAGCAGCAATAGCAGTAGCAGAAGCAGTAGGAGTAGTAGGAGTAGTAGTAGTAGTAGTAGTAACAGCAGCAGTAGCAGCAGCAGCAGTAGTAGTAATGATGATTATTGTGAGCGACTGTTCATAATACTAATAATGTACAATAACATGAGAATAGTAACAATGATATTTTGATACTACTCATAATGATCATGAACATGATAGTAAAAACATATAAACAATATTGATGCTAAAAATAGTAACATTAACAATAACACATAAACCCAGTCATCATGATAATTCTATGATAATGATAATATGCCTGCGTGTGCGCCAGGTTTGTATGTAAATACACATGCATATTTATTTTTACATACACACACATGCCATGCAAGGAAAATGTATCGGAAGACATATGTCCTTTCCCAAACATTTCACTACAATGTCTTTCATTTCCCCATTTTGAAGTTCTCAGGGGAGATGTTGTTAGTCCCAAGTAATTGTGCATCAACCATTATCCGTACAGTGTGCCCCCACTGCTTGGTTGTACTCCTTCAAAGTTCCGAGCTTCTTCGGGCATCAACTCGGAAGAGATAATTCATGATAATTCCGTAATGTCCAGCAGGTTTGCATCGAGCTTCTGAATGTTCCACCCATGTAGGTTCTGCTTTTTACCTGCCAATTTGGCACCAGATCGTAGGTGCATCTTCTGATTCGCATTGGCCACCACTGGGATCCCAAAGCCTGTCATGCGCAGGTGGAGGAAACCATCAACCAGAGCCAGCCAGGAGAGTTGGAAAATGCCGAAAGCAGGGTGAGGTTCTGGTCCAATCGGGTCGCCGTTGGAGCACGATTCACACCAGATCGAAGCATATGTTTGATTCAGATGTTGGTCCCACAGTGAAGATTATGAGGATTCGTTAGGCATAAAATTTCTCTGTCTGATGCATGTTTTAGTTTTGTTGTGTTCAACAGTTTTCAACCTATTTTGGATGGTCACCGCTTATTGGTTGTTGGTGTGGGCTGAAATTCACCGACTCAGGCCGTGTCCCAAACAACTTCGCTGTCGGGTGGAATGCAGGGGACCCCTTGGGACCTTGGGGACCTGTTTTTCAATTGGTAAACTAACATACGGTGGATGGAAGAAATCCTGCACCAGTTGATAGGTGGCTTATCCCATTATTTATAGGGTTTCAACCATCCAAGGTGATGCAGGATTTCTTCCATCCACAGTAGCTATTGAAGCCATGGCCATAGAAATAGTGGATTTTCCGATTTTCCCATTAAAAATGGGTGGATCTTTCCATAGTTACGTTAACGTTTACCAGAGGGTAATATTGGTAAATGACTGGGATTCATGTAATCCACCAATATTTATCAGCCAGCATTGAAGGATTTCGTGCGTTTGGAGTTTCGCTACAACCTGTTGTTCTACGCCATTTGGTCTTTTCCTAACAGGTCCAGTGGCCCAACAGCCTTTCATAGTCCGTGTGAAGTCTCATTTGTTTCAGGTGTGCTTGGGCCCATTTCATAGAATGACTGAGGTCCAGATCACAAATAGATAAACCTTAGCACTGGGTGTTGAGGGATGGGAGATGCTGGAAGTATAATGAAGATTAATAACTAGTTTCCCCCTGATGGTTTCAAGTACTTGAGTCTTTAAATACCAGGATTCCTTGTCAAGGATGCGCTCTTGGCCCCCCACATTGAACCAGGCCTCTAAGATCTAGCCAGCCTCAGCTGAGGTTGCAACAAAGTGAAATATGACGGTGCCGCTTTTCGTTCGGGTTGTTGGACGATGTTTCCATGACCATGTCGCCAGTGGGAATGAGGAAACATGATCTTTTGGATTGGAGAATGGCATGTTCCATTGTTTGAAGCTGCCAACATCCATTGCTGCAGCAGCAGCAGCATTGGCAAGTAATTAATGTCGAATATTGACTGATGTAGGTCAAGTGCCCCACCTTTTGGAACTCCGTCGTCCCTCAAGCATGAATCTAAGTAAGGATTCGGATTCATTCGAATCTATTGTCAATTCATTTTTGTAAATGAAAACAACAAAAATCGGATATGTATGGAGTCCAATGCATTTGTATCTATGTACACTTCTGCATGGTTCCTTTTTAAACACAAATAATCAGGATAACTAAGGGTTCGAATTCATTTGAATCTAAGAAAAGGTTTTGATTCGTTTAAAACATTTTAAAATTATTTGTACATGTGTTTTCTCTTCTCTCCTTCGTTCCTCCTTGCTTTGCTTCCTTCTCTTTCCTACTTCCTTTCCTTTTAGCCGTTCCTTAGTTCTTTCTGTGTGTGTGTGTAACATCTAAATAGATGTAAAACTTCTCTCTTTTTTCTTCCTTTGTCCTCTCCCTTTCTAACTAACTAATTTCAATGCAGGGGGCGACAGGGTCGCTGCATGGCTGTCGCCAACGAAGCTCCATGCAGTTGACTAGGATATGGAGTCTGATCAACTCCACGTACCTGCTTCATTTCTTCGTAGGATGCATCGTTAATTTCATTGTTTCGTATCTAATCTGCATGTTTCAGGATTCAGTTCCTGCCGGATCATATAATGATCCATTCTTGTCTAGTGTGATTTCCATGGTGGCTCCGACATGGTGCCATGGAGCCATTGGAGGCAACCCTCTTCAGGGTGAATGTTGACAGTCCTGAATTCTGAATTCACACATTTTAATTTGGTAATTCATCTAAGTAAAGCGAAACAGTTGGCCTTTCGGTTATGCACCTTTTGCGAAGTCCCGCGGATCCGGCCGTCCTTTGAGATCCTCTGTGAATTTCATTCTTCAAGCGTGACGTTGTTCGAAACAATCAGAAACCTTCTCCGTTTCGCAGCTGCTTTTGACGATTCATGACAACAGCATTGGATACAGGAATCAGGCAGGCACACGACTTTCAGGTGTGGTGTCTCTTTCTTTTGATGGTTGTCTGGTGAGGTGAAACATATTGTGCATCTAATTCGATGGAACTTGAAAGCCGTTCTATGCCAATTGGGGCAAGACTTGACCACGGTCCCGGTGCAGGGAATAATCGCACGACTCCTAGGAATCTAGGGACTGAATCCTGGTTGTGAATTCTGTTGTGTGACTTCCCTTTGTCTGGCATCAACTAGTTCCCCATTGGTCCCTAATCTTTCCCCACGTGCCTCTCCGTAACGTGTCGTGGGGTTTAGGACGTTTAGGTGTGTGCGCTGTTTTTGTCAGGTCCGTTTCGCCGTGTAGGTTGGTTCCGGAGGTCCGTCTGTTCCCCTCCCCCCCCTGCGCTGTTTTTGGCCGTCTGCCCGTCGTGTGTCCGCTTTTTTCTTCCTCTTGCCTTTCAGGGTTGACCCGGCTCCGGCCGGGTGTGTGTGTGTGTAACATCTAAATAGATGTAAAACTTCTCTCTTTTTCTTCCTTCTGTCCTCTCCCTTTCTAAACCTAGTGCAGGGGGCGACAGGGTCGCTGCATGGCTGTCGCCAACGAAGCTCCATGCAGTTGACTAGGATATGGAGTCTGATCAACTCCACGTACCTGCTTCATTTCTTCGTAGGATGCATCGTTAATTTCATTGTTTCGTATCTAATCTGCATGTTTCAGGATTCAGTTCCTGCCGGATCATATAATGATCCATTCTTGTCTAGTGTGTGTGTGTTTTCCTTGAGATTGTTTCCTTCCTTTTCCAATCACCCCTAGTCTTTTCCACTCTTTTCACTTCTTCTTTTTCTTCTTATTTTGTTGTTCTTGTTTCTTCATTTTCTTTGAACACCTTGGCTGGAAGTGTCAGTGACGAAGAGGCAGCTATAGCACAATCATATCCAGCAACAGATTGCTCAGGGAGATCCTTGCCACTCACAACCAGGGAGATCCAAGCCCACGACAATAAGTGGTTCATGGACTACCGGTGACTAGCGGTTGAAAAAATGTGTTTTTGTGCTGTTTTTAACTGGCTGGGCTTTCGTAATGAAATTGATTTTAATTTGGGGATCCTTGGCATTCTGTGGGGATTTCTTGGCAGTTGGGCGTAAAGTACAACAGCTGTAGTACAGCAAGGCTTAGACGTAGCGGATACACACGAAAATTCATTAGGTTTTTACCTCCTGATACAAATGAGTTTTGGGAGAAACTTGCCACAATTTACTACCAGGGGCATCACTTGAATTAGTTGGAGAAACCTTGCTGTCAAACAACACTATGCTAAAGAAGGTTATCACGGAAACTATTTTGGATGGTGTTCTCGAGTGGGCGAACTAGTTCATTTTTTAAAAATAGTTCCAACCATGCCCAGGTCCAGGTGCAAGGGTGGCCTTTGTGATTTGGATGTCCAGCTCACCCCTTTTCAGCTGGTTTCCTATAGAACAGGTCTCCTCCAGGCTTTGGCCATCCGAAAAAGCCGAATGCCTTCCACAGGCGAAACGAAGAATAATCTTCAAGTCCGGATGCAGATGGTGGAAGGGAACCCGATGGTGTGCGAAAGCTCAGCGCAGCTAAGGACGCACCCCAAAGAGGGGGGGGGACTCGCACGAGCAACTGTCAGTGTTCAGATTGATCATGAGTCAATGAAAATTGCGCTTCAAATAAAAGCAATTCGATGTGTTGGGTGATTACTTTATCCTTCATTTTGAAAGACTTGCATGGCTCCTTGCCACAATCAGCTGACATCCACAGGGGTTAGGGCCTAGAGGGTCCATTATAGACGGGACCATACCCTCTAGACAAGCTGGGGATATGTGACTATGGCTCAAAACGCTGGCTTCTCAGTCAGCGAATTCCACTGGAACTTTATATATATATCTTTATATTTATCATTTGTTAAGGTAAGCATCTCAGAGGCCTCATGGGTTTCAAGTCCACAGACTTCCCCAGCTCCAGGTCTGCTGAAGCCGTGCAAACCACTCCGAAGCAAATGGCCAAGCCAGCGATCCGCTTAGAGGGTCCAGGACGCGTCGCAGAGTCGGTGGATTGCTGACCCTTTGGGGAACTGGGGAAATCAGGTGTTGGGGGATTTTCTACTGCCAGGCTAGATGACCAGAGTGCAAAATTCGCCAAAGATTTCTTTGGAACCAGAAGAATCAGTTTTGCAGAAGATTTGACTATATTCCTCCCCATGAATGTTTGTTGGTGACCTGAATCTGGTGCGACCTTCAACTCAAGCCCACAGCCGAGGTTTGGAAGCAAAAGTGCCAGTTGCCAGTGCCGGACGAGCCGCAAGCTGAACATTGGTGGATCCAATGGAATCCTGTTTTTGCTCTGAATTCCAGCCCAGCAACATGCAGCAACCCAGAAAAGGTTGCTAAAATTTAGCTAAAACATTCTGAAACCTCTGTTGGTTACATGACATGGATAACTTCTCATTCTGTTTCTGTGGTCACAGGTCGCAGGTCCAGCCTTGGTCCTGAGGTTGTTGAACTGTGGTCGGACCCTTTCGGTGAGGAAAGGTTGGGTCCATGAACAACACGCCCGGCACGCCCTGCCGCGCGACATCACCTTGGATACCTCAGATTTGCCGTTGATTAGCGCACTACCCATCCCAAAAAGGGCGAATTGGTGGCGTACTCTTAAATTCGATGTGTATTGTACTGAGTGTTTCCCAAAAAAAAGCTATACAAAGACATATTTTATATGATTTTGATTGATTCGTATGTTTTTGTTCGTGGGAGGTGCTGGGGTAGCACGTGGAAACCATCTTTTTGTTTGTAATTTTCCCCTCACGTAGGGTCCAACATGTTCACTCCATATGTATGCTCTTACATGTAGATAGACTAGTCGATAGATAGAACATGATAGAAAGATAGGTAGATAAGATAAGATAAGGCATGGAGGGCGCAGACAACAGGTAAGGTAAGGAAAGGTAAGGTAAGGTAAGATAAAGTGAGATAAAGTGAGAGAGATAGATAGATAGATAGATAGATAGACAGATAGATAGATAGATAGATAGCTAAATATGTTAAGTATCTTGTTGTTTCATGTAAGACTCTTACACATATATTGTTTCTTATCTATAACTTATATATGTATATGCATAGTGCCTTTTTCAAATGGAACAAATCCAGGTTGAAGGTCAGAACACGCCGGTGCCATGCAACTGATACTGTTGCCGTATGGTCCACCTTTAGATGCCGGGGTGAACCTCGCGGTGTGGCCACGAACGCCGGCCGTGGCGAAGGCTGGAAGTTGGGACCCCTATGTCCAACAATGATGTGGAACTCACCCCCAAAAACACATATTGATTGTAATATTTATATCCTTTTATATCATTTATATCGAATTTGAAGGTCAAACACTTTTTCGGTTGGGTTACAACTATATCATCCGATATCATGCTCTTCATACCTTCACAATACTTTCTATTGTTTCCCCAGAGAAAAACATTTTGCCTTCCAGAGCTCCTGGCAGGTTGCCCGTCATGGCTCCTTCGCCGCGGTCACCGAGCAAGATGCTCTCACCGAGACATCAGCCCGTAGCCCTGGTGAAGACGAACACTTTGGATGATTAGTTATAAGTAAATTCATACAATTTCATGATTTGTATTCACTTATATATCCATGTGTGGATGATTCATGCGTCATGTATGTTCATCTAATTTCTATACACTAATATACAATACATTTTTTTTGATCTTTGGCTGCTTTATCCATCTACACACATTGATTCTCAGGGAAAAACCCTTTGTCATTTTTCATCTATTAGTATCATCGTTTAGTACCTGTTTTGCTATGATTTGCTATGGTTCATGATTGTTCATGGAGATATTCTTCATCAATCATTATTGTTACCCTCTGGTAATTTAACATAGCTATGTTAGTTTACCAGAGGGTAATTACTGTTCATTATATGTAGTGATGTCAAGGCTGGAAAACACTGTGCCCTGCCCTGAGGCGGATCTCGGATGAAGCCCTTTGTCTTCAGATGCAGCAGTGCGGTCCCTGGTTCCGATCGCAGAGCACAGATATGTCTTGGGGAAAGGCAGTCATGGTATGTCACATAACATTTACAGATACATACATGTATCCATTATATATATATACATACATATATATATATATGTATGTATATATATATATGTATATATATATATATAATTGTATATATATAATTGTATATATTTATAATTGTATATATAATTGTATATATATAATTGTATATATATAATTGTATATATTGTATATATGTGGTTGTGTGTGTGGTTGTGTGTGTGATTGTATGTGTGTAATTGTATATGTGTATACTTGTATATATAAATATACCTGTATAACGTTTATAGTGTTTTTATATGAGTGAGATTTTGCTCTACTTATAAATGTATATATATATATATATACATTTGTACATTTATGCATGCACAGTGCGTAAGGTGCACTAGTGGTGGACTGGTGGGGGTATAATGCATCAATATCCATCACAGTCCTTTTGAACAAATCTGGCATTTGATGCCGTTTAGGATTGCCCGAGCATCCCAATCCTAATCCTACTAGCATTGACAAACCTCTCTTGGAAAAATTGGGATGTCAGCATTCAGATACTGCACAAATATCCATTCATTCCGTTTGTGCTCTTATCATCCAGAAGATTTATCTGTATGTGGCCGATGATTTTGGAAAACCATTGGCTGGTCAGGGCGCCTGCATCAGGTTGATCAGGGGCTCTCCCGCACGATAGTAAGCACAAGAACATATGCTTTTCATGGCTTTCAAATTTAGATAAGTTTTCTTCCAGGTTCCTAGACAACTGGCACTACATCGTGATGAAATCATCCTTGGGCAAGACCATGGATCGTCGAAAGGCCATGGGGGCCAGGGGAAGTCATCCCTTATGATAGGTCATCCCTTATGATAGGTCATAGGACCATGGAATACCATGGAACTATGTTTGTTTTGTTGATAGGTCGCAGGTTCCCCTGGATACATTTGAGGATGGGCTCCAGAGCACCTGGATTGACGCCAAGTCATGAAATTTTCTAATGCCCGGTTGCATTGGGGTCTCTGTGATGTATATATATATATTATACATATAATTATATTGAATAGATAATGTTGCCTCCATCCCTTTCGCTCGAAAAATGCATTGCTTTGATGTGCTTTGGAACCTCAGGCATTTTGGCTCCCAGAGGATTGGTTGCGCCACACATCTAAGTCCAACCATTTGCTTACACCACTACTTGCCGTGATGATGGCTCGCCACAGGCCAAAATAGCGTTTGCATGCATTTGCTTAGATTTGATTGTAGCTGGGGCATTTCCATTGTGACTGACCACCGCCCACTTCTTGCTTGTAATTGACACAAATCAATACAAATCACTTTTGCCGCAAGTGTGGCAAGCCAAACCCAAAGGTGAAGCTGATTCTTTACCCCGCTCCACCCACAGATGTCTAAAATATGTTCAATTTACTTTCATTTTACTGTGATGCAAGCCCGATTTGTGCTGAGCCTCTCAGCCTCAATTTGTTGGTTCCCGCCACTGCACGTCCTCATGGTGCGCCATGGGGCGAAGTTGCTGACGCTGGTCGTGCTGAGACTTGACGGCTTGGAGTTGCAGCTGGGGAATCATGGGAAATGGAGGGATTTTAGAGTTATACATAGTGATACCCCAATGGTTGGCTACCCCATGGTTGGCCATAGCTATCACAACTTGGGGAGTTGAACATCATATTTTACCCAAACACGGGTCTCCTTTTGGATTATTGGATTATCGGACTGCTGATACAAGATGTCACTTCCGTGGTGGATATCGGAGATCACATTGTTGGCGAGGCTGCGAACGCAGCAAAACAAGGACTGTGGAGTGATGTGTCATCCAGATGTTGGACTGCCACCCAAGAGCTAGAAGAAACCGCCTCGCCTGAAGACATTTCCTTTTACCCATCATCATCATAATTTTAATCATAATGCCATTAATGGTTCTAAATCACTGTGCTCTGCGCATCCATAGTGGACGTTTCAAGTTTCAACTGTTGATGGTTCAAAGCAGCAATGTTTACACGCGACCAAGGACCCTGATCTCCAGAAGCGGCTACCTCTTTTGCAGATCAGCCGCCTGCCGAAAGACATGCTTGGAAAGGCCAGGAGTAGTTGTAATCATCGCTGCACTTGAACAAGCACCAGCAAGTGGCAATCATTGATAATATTGATTTGATGTAGTAGGCAATCATTGATTGATAACGATTGATAATAATTGGTATCATCAAAATAATTGATAAACCCACATGTGATGAATGACTGATTTGATATTTTGATGATATGTTGATGTTGTTTTGGCAATTTTCCATCAGTTGACTGATCTACCTTTGGACGCCCCGATATTTTTTTGGTCACCGGAGGCGGCGAGCTGCGAGCCCAGCCGCAGACGGCATCGCTGGGTGTAGCTTGCAACTTGCTGGAGCCGCGGCCCTCTGATGGGATGAATTGGATTTTATGGTCATGGATCAATACCTATACATACCATTTTTAGGGGGATGAACATCCATTTACCAGCTATTTTGATGTTCACCAGGGGTATAAGGTTTTGACTCATACCCTTATAAGTGGAGCAATTAGTGGTGCATCATTTTTTCAATTGCAATTCATTTATAACTGGATGAATATGATGAATGCTAATTTATGAAAATAAGTCTGGGTAAATTATAACGACCTCACTGCGACCTCACTGGGAATGATGGTTACAGTAGTAGGAGTGACTATCCCCAAAGGCGAGTGAATTATTATACTTTACCCAGATAAGTGGAAATCCACAAAATGGAAATGATTGCAACATGGTTTGCAGCTTGGAAATGATTGGAAATGCATGGCAAGTTCCCCCACCATCTCAGTTCTGGGCTTTGCAAGTGAGTTGCTACCAAAAACATCCCAGAATAAGCGGAGCATGCCAACAAGAACGGGCCTAATTAATCATCAAGTTTGTTATGGTGCACCTTCCAGAGGTACCTCTTGAATGAAGATACCCTTTGGCGAACATTTATTGAGACCGCAATGCCATGCAATTCCGTCCTTTGTTACGCAAAAGTGCCTTTTGATATTCTCTGGAAAATAGTATAATGTGTATCAATTGTGATGAATCATATGCCGCGTCACTAGGCTGAAAAATCCCGAAGCTTTCTGCTACCAGCCAACTGCAGTAAAGATATGAAAAGAACCTCCAAGTGGGGATGGATTGTGCAATCCATTTCTGGTCAGATTGCGGATAAGTTGTTGGTCCAGCTACTTCTAGGAATGATGCGTTTGCCCGGCTTGCCCGCCACTCCAGCCATTGCCATGATTGCCATGGCAGTCCAGTTACAACCCATCTCATTTTGGTGCAACCATACGTGTATATAATATCTCGAATACCTGCATTCACACTGCGTTTGAAACTTGTGCATCTATTGCACAATAACATGAATTTCATATGAATGTCATATGATTATCATATGAATATCTCCCCCTCTCTCTCTCTCTCGCTAGTTCTAAGGATGTTTTGTTCCTTGACCTACCGAGGTTTTTGCCCGTTGGGCCTTTCTGTCCCTTCCGCTCGGACTTCTGGAGTGATCCAAGCCTGCAAAGCCAGGCGGAGGAAATGGCCATCAAGCCCCTCCCCAGCAGATGCAGTACACACACGAAGATATGGTATTTTATTGTATCATATCGTATTAATTATGCCATATATCATAACATTTCACATCACATCATAAAACACATACTTTGATTGACATAGTCCTTTCTGCAACACATAATGTGATCAATGCGCTGGGTTTCTTTGCAAAGCCAAATGAAACGCAGGTAATAATTGCAACCATCAAACATTTCTCTCCATGATACTGTAAAGAACTGGTAACAAGTATGTGTGTGTGAGTTGAAATGATTCTAAGCCCATCAGGTGGGATAGCCATTCCTAAGTTGAAGGCTGGGACCCCGCTAGCCTAGTGGCCTTAGAATGTTGGGATGGTCCCAACGTCGAACAGGATGTGAATCATGTGTTTGAATGGAGGGGCGATGTTAGTTGCTTCAGATTGCATATTACTAAAATTATCTAAAATTGGCGTTGTGCATAATATTTCTATATATTTCTAGTTTCTAGGCGCAGTTGTATGTTCAAGATTTGCATGATGTATCATATGTACATTATATATATATATATATATTTATATTTATCTGTATACAATTATATATATACATGCACCTATCTGGGGTATGGTTGAAAACGATCAACCCCCCAAAGCCACTGGGTCGCCCAAGGCAGCAGCGCGAAGCAGAGCTGACGGCCAGATTTCGGCTGGGTCAGACCCTGACGCCGGAGGAGAAGTCGGAGTTGTGCAGCCTGGCGCGTGGTGACGTGGGAGTTGAGGTTGAAAAACCCGGCCCACATCCCATTTGTCCAATTTGTATAGACCCAAGTGATACATGGTTAATCATATTTACATATGTAGGGGCGGCTTTAATGTAACATTTCTCTGTTTTTGCTCAGAGATATACATTGCTAAAACCTGCTAATAGGCCAAAGAGTGCAGCCGGAATTGCCATTTTGGTATAAGCGCAACTGACACCAAAGACAGATATGCAGCCATGTGTGTGTTGTTGCCCGAGCCAGTTGCACGGTGATGAGACTGAATGACCTTACTGCACTGCTTGACAGTTTCGATATGTCAGTCGGACTGGCTGAGAACCAAGTCCAATCCACCGGAATACCGAATATTATTATGATTTATTATGTAATATATTATGTGTGCGTGTTATATGATGTTAGTGACGTTAGTGATTTGACAGGAGGCTTCTATGGCGACACCGGATTTGAAAGATCCCAAGCACACTTCTGAAAGATAAGATACGGATCGACACACTATTGAACAGAACGCAGCATTTAAATTTGAGTCAACGCTGTCCGCAAAATTATGGTTTCTTAAAATTTGGATACCCCAAGACCACTGGTTTCCCAATTAGCAAATGCCAAATTGGGATGATTTTGGAGCCCCCATTTTAAGAACTCTCCACATGAGAGAGCTACCGTCCAAACTTCAAACGTATCAATGTGCTGAGGCAGCTCCATGAAAGCATCCAGTGAGTACTGGATCTCCAACCAGACACATGGTGTTTGAATTTATGTGTTGCCTTGTTGGAATGTCATTGATTAGAAGATTTGAACATGAGATAAATTTCTTCACGTAAAAAATTGGGTCCCCATAGCTTTCACTCGCCTTTAGCTTAGCTAAACTCTTCGAGAAGGCGATGGAGGGAGGGAGAGAGAGAGAGAGAGAGACAGAGAGAGAGAGAGAGATGCCCGCAGAGCTTTTCTCTCTCCTGTCCATTAGTTCCTTCATTGTGCATATATACTCCCAACATTATACAATGCGGAGAGTTGGTGATTGGATACACAGTCACAGTATATATTGTTCATTCATGGCCATTAGCAACGAAGGGAATAGATTGGAGAAGTTCTGCGCGGGTGCTTTCAAACAAACTTTTCAGCCGGCCATTCCTCATTTCTTGTTTGCCTGCGCGAAGGTTCAGGGTTCGTTTAGTGTGACTTTCCATTGGGGTCTCTTGTTCGTTTAAGCAAATGCTCGTGGTTCTTCGCAGGGCAACGTCTACACTCAATGCTTCGCAGAGGGTTCATGATTCAGTTAATTCAGTTCATGATCACGATTCTGCTCCCCCTGCATGCCAAAGTTTTGCAATTTTGTTGAAAACAGCCACGGACTTGGGTTGGTTCCCGACCCCAGACAAACACCACCGGTGGCGCCCCAGCTGTGAAGATCACTGAGGATGCGCTTGCGCTATGCAGATGATTTCCAGGCCCTTGAGAGTTTCAAGATCACGGAGGCTTCGCACGAAACCGGTGACCAAAGTGGACTTAACATGACCCAACCAAACAGTCCAACATAGTCCAACCAAGTCCAAGCGTTCAACCTGACTAAAACGGTTACGTGAAACGATGGATGTGGTGCCACCTGAGGTGAAGTTGGAACCCTTCGGATTTTCCATGGACACTTTGGAGGTGCTGAAAACTGTGTCGACGCTGGAACCCACAGGGCCAAAAATGCAAGCATTCCTGATACTTCTGGGGTTTTAGCAATGTGTGAGTTATGTGAATTTCTAGAGGTTTCCTAAAATAGGGGTATCCCCAAATCATCATATTTGTTCATTATAAATCCATCCATTTTGGGGTACCCTCATTTCAGGAAACTCCCATCCATTTTTCATTATCATCCTCTGTTGCCGTGGGAGGCGTTGGTGAAATGGACGCCGGAACAGGTGTCCTGTATGTTGGAGGGGCGGCCACCAACGCCCCCGCCTGCAGGATTGACACATGGCCTCAGTGTTTTGTCGGAGAAAGGAGTCAGTAACTCCACAAACGTGAATTCTGATTCTAAGATGATCGTAGCTACCAGTAGTACGACACAAGGCGGTGGCTGAAGTTTCAAAGATAGGGAACTATAGGAGAGGTGAGTTGTTGTGATGCATGGATAGCAAAACGAATCCATCGATGGACCGAAAGGTGGTTGGTTGGAGTTGTGCTTTTTGGAGTGGTTGCAGTGGTCACCTCAACCACAACTAATGGATGTAGTGTGGTGTAGAGTGTAGTGCAAAGATGTGCAAAGTATTATTTGTAGTTGCAGTTGCATTTGTTGTTGTATTGTAGTGTAGTCGTAGCTGTAGTTGATGTAGTTGTAGTTTTAAATGTTCTAGTTGTAGTTGTAGCCGTGTTTGTAGTTGTAGTTGCAGCATGTTGCAGCTGTAGTTGTAGTGTAGTGGGGAAGTGTGGTGAAGTGGAGTGTAGTGGAGTTGCAGTTGCAGTTGTAGTTGTAGTGTAGTGTAGTTACTTGTAGTCGTAGTTGTAGTTGTTGTAGGTGCAGTTGTAATAGTAGAAGAAGGAGTAGGAGTAGGAGTAGGAGTAGGATTCGTAGTAGTAGTAGTAGTAGTAGTAGTTGTAGTTGTTGTTGTTGTTGTTGTTGTGGTTGCTGTCGTTGTTGTGTCGAGTGGCGCGGTTGAACGCCCAAAAGTGCTCCGAACCTGTAAGTTTTTAACACTTTTGACTTTGACTTCCAAATGTGCTTCGCGCCAGAACGGCGTGCACTTTTTCGACGTCTCAACTTCCAAAAGTGGTCCGAACCTGTAAGTTTTTAATTTAACACTTTTGACTTCGAAATATGCTTCGCGCCACAACGGCGTGCAGTTTTTCATCTCTCATCTGGCCAGATGGCTCCGCACCCGCCGCTCTAGCGAGCCTACTTTTCGACCCTCCAGAGCCACATTTTTTTGGAAAAACATAGTAAATCGCGACTTTTCTCCTTTTTCGCGCAGCTGCATCTTCTTTCTTCTGGCTCTTTCTTTTCTCTGATCTTCTCTTTTCTTCTCGTCTCTTCCCTTCTCTGACTCTGCCCACCTCTGCTTTTCCATCTGTCCATATTGTCGGAAGTTTGACTTCAAAACTTCCTTCGGCAATCATAGTAAACTACGCTTCTTTTTTTGGCGATCCCTGCAAATGATTTGATAATCGTGTGCGCACAGGCACGCTCGCAGACCTTGTTCAAACATATATGCAATTACATGTGCGCTGGTATCGAAATGCATGAAAACCTCCATCACCTGTGCTATTTTGTATTTATATATATATATATACATAGTTGTATTTGAATACCCTTCAACGCGTGTATATAATAATAGTATCCTTACGAAACAAAAAGTCACAGACATGTGTTTGTAGATGCATATGTTACATGTGTATTGTGCATCTACAAGTTTAATATATATGTATAGATATATTTTACATGTACATGTATATTTATAAATATACATTTGTATATATATATGTCTACATGTTATACACATATATATATATATTATATGTGCGTGTGTGTCCATGGTGCCCACCAGCAGCAGCTGTTGATGATGGATGCCTGGATGCCTCCAAACAATTGACACTTTTCCTCTGCAGCTTAGGAACATGATGAAGATCCAGCCGCTCAGCGTCATTTTTGAGCTAGTTTATTTTGGATTAGTATGACCCAAGACCTATATACCCTTTTTGCGCTCTCAGCCTTCATGTGCGTGTATATTTCTTTATTGCTCATTTATATTGAGTTGCGAACCATATTTGTTACATAACGGAATTGACGGGGTGTTCCTACCTCGTTCTCCAGTCTCGTAACGTTTTTGCCTACCTCGTTCTCGGGGTGTTCCTACCTCGTTTTACAAGCTAAATATGATGCTTTTGACAAACCGGGGTACGCCCGAATACTACTTTCCATATACGCAAATAAGAGCCGTCGCTCTGTGTCATGTGTTGTTTTCCATACACGTCCAGCACATGATGTGCATGGTATAGCGCCGATCAGTTGTTAGTTTAGTTTATGTGAGACTTAGGGTTAGAAGGATCCCAGTTTTACACCGATCTGGTTTGTGGCCGTCCAAGTTGCATTTTTACACTTGAGAAATGAACGAACCAAAAACATAGTGGACGTTTACGAGTTTGATCTAATGTCATTTGATTCCATTTGTATGAAGACTCGATACTTGCAGCACTTTTCATGAAAGGCAGGCGGGTCAATCACTGCCAACGGCCAGGAGCTGAGCGATTGGATCCAATTGGCCAGGTGAATCAGTTGAGCACCACTCGCCATGTCGGCCATGTCATGCACTGAGATTATGAGCCTGTCGGATATGAAGAAATTTTCTTCCTTTGTCGCTGAAGGGAGCGAAGTATCTTGGCATATCGCCAGGGGTTGTAGCTGGAGAGCCATCAGATGCATATTTTTTGACCAAATCATACAGGATCATTGCTGGAGGGATTTCAGCCACCCGGGTAGTTGGGATTCCGTGACCTCCCAGCCTTCCTGAAAACGTCCTGTCAGTGAGTCAGTGAGCGGAGTTTTGCCATCGGTTCAATCACACAGATTCTGATTCCTCGTATTTAGTCACAGCATGGCATGGCCAAACATTCTCGGCATGAGCATTTGGATGGCCATACTGAGGCACTCCAAAGTGAGTTGGTGCAGGAAGAGTCTCTTGCCTTTCAGATCTTTCAGCGTGGAGCCAGTGCCACAGAACCGAAAGGCACAAAAAAGAACTGAGGCTGAAGACTTTGACTACAGAGCACCAGGCTTTAATCAGCGTCTTGGTGCTGGGAAAATGGGACACCAGCGGAGTGGTAGCACTGATCAAACCTGCTGCTGAAACGCAAAAAACATGTTTTTTTTGCCTGCGACCGTGTGCCCCTATTACTATGACAGTGAGGATCAGTGAGTCCCTGGCGATGCAGGGAGAGAGAGAGCGGCCGGTCACCTGATCCGAGGTTTAGGAAGCAACTACCGCCAGTTTGATCCTCGCGGAAAGGAAGCCTACTTGGATCAGATCGCTTTGGTTCAGGCCCAAGGGTCCATGTTTTCCAACAGCCAAGCGCCTTGCATTGGTTCTGGTTTCCGTCTCCCCTTCTGGTTGAAACAGAACTGAAGCCAAGTGTTTTGCGGGCTGTGTTTTCTTTGCTTATAAGTACTTTTTGTGGGGCCGTTCACGATTGGGTTGGGCCTGTTAGAGTGCTGTACATTTGAACGCTTGACCACCGACAGCCAGGAACGTTGGAAGATCTTCATGACCCGCTTCCAGCTGATGGGGGACGCTTGACCACCATCACCATCACCGCAATCAGCATCATCATCCCATTCAAACATCAAATCTATTCTATATAATTGTTCATAGGTATCCTAAAGACGACTCGTTTAGGTTTCCTGCAGATTGGTGACTTGCTAACTAGATTCGTTATGATTCGTTGATCCAAAGTGAGGAAATTCAGGGATTCCATGTTGTTTTACCTTCTGAGACGTAGAAAAGTGCTGCACGCATGACACACCTAGTGACTGACGATTGGCAGATATTGCTAGACATATATCCGACTGCATGCTGTCTGAGGAATTGAACCCGGACTTTCTGGAAGAATCACAAAGATACTTGATGCAAGCAACTTGGATCAAGAGGCAGTTGCAATAGAAGGGAATCACAGAATTTGCAGACTGATCCAGGATGATGCAAGCGCAGCCCTAATGATGTTGCGTTAGTAGAATGAGTGTGGCAGCTAATGAGAGATGACGAAGATAGAAGGCATAGGCCAGGCAACCTGTATATCAAAATGCTCTGCACTTTACGCTTCGAATTCGCTGCAGGAACAACCCAGTCAGGACCCTTTCCCCAGACGTGCCATACCCTCAATGAGTCAAATTTAGTGGGTGAACCACAAACTTGTGGGATGTTCATTGGGATAGGATTTGTTTGACTTGCGCCCGTTTGCCAATACCCTCAGGTAGGGATGACCATCGAGCAATTCAACAGCCTGATCCAAGATGTCCATCAAAGAATGAGAGAAGATGCGCAAAAAGAAGCGTTGCGATAGGTCCGATAGGTCCAATAGGTCATAGAAAGATTAGACCTGTTGGATCTGGTCGTTCATGGTCGTTAATCACCACGAGCTCTGCACTATTCGTTGATATCGTGTGCGAGACGAGAACTGGGGCAAAGTACCCTGGTGTAAAGGGGAAAATCGTGCTCGTCTCATTGCCGGAGTCTGGGATTCCAAATCGATGTTACAGAGTAGCCACGCCTGCCAGGATTGACAAGCAGACTTGCAAGATCTTGAAAGGCTGACTTATGTCCTAGTGCACCCACTATACCATCCATATTTTTCGCGTCATTCTGTGCTGGAGTTTTCCTGTGCACATGTACCTAGATCCTTGTTGGAGGCACTTTTTGCTAAGAGTACGCTTTACTGTGCTGCGGCGTAATTTCAAACTTGCGGCGTTTTTGAGTTTCTGCTGCGGCGTTTATTTCTGGCTCCTAAACAAGAATATGCAAGGAGCTGGAGCACTTGGTTTCATCATTTTGTTCAGTGTCTCACTTCATCCTAGTCAGCAACTTTGACTTTTTTTGTCCCAATGCGAGCTGGTAGTACTTCGGACAAGTCCGACCGAAATTGTGGCTCTTGTAATCCGGGATTACTTTGCAAGTTTGGACAGCCACGTTTTTTTCGCACGTCCCCGGTCAGGTCAATCAAAATTTCTAAGACTTGTGGAGTAACTGCGGCGTATTTTGGCATAACTGCGGCGTAATTTGGCATATATAATTGTCGCATAAAATGCTGCAATAGTTCAATGATTTCGTTGCGTTTTTGTTGGATAGTTTTTGGCAATTGCACTCACATAGCCGCAGCGTTGTTCTTTGCCAATTGCTGCAAACTCGTTGTATTTGCACCTCTTTGCCTTGCAGCTAACTAAACAAAGTCTGATGGGTGACATGGCATAGCCGAGAGACTGGGAGGAGCTGAATGTTGCAGAATGTATAGTTGCTGGGCATTTAACCAAGATGTTGTCAACAACCATGCTTCTGATTTGCGGCATTTTTGTGCCATTTTGTGCTGCCACGGCGTCTTTTAGTTGCCGCGGCTTTTTTTTGGGCATTGCGGCCAAAAAATGCCACAATGAATTGCGGCACTTTTTTCGTCCTCCAAGTGGAGTGGACCTATAGGTATGATATCAAATCGATATAGACAAATAATGAGCCTGGGTTGAGAGGAATATAAAGAAATTACTGGAACACAATGAGAGACGATCGAGCATCATGAAGCACATCAGGGTGTTGTTCTGATGAAATAAAAAACAACGAGACTCACTAAATATGTACAACCCTGGCAATTTCTATCCTCAGACCCCTTTGCTGATGTCTAGTCACTGAAAAGTTGGATAGATATGGATAGATATTGCGTATTATTTGTTGGTTATCATGGTTTATCCACGTCATCAGTATACCTCAAGACATCTCAATGAGAATTAAATCAAATCCCATGTCATGACTTTCATCCATTGCAAATTCACCGGCAGGTCTTGGAAATGGCCTTGCATGTGCTGTCCATGAACGGCATCCGCTTCAGCCCTGAAGAGTTCCTGGGCAAGTCATGAAGCAGAGCTGGAAGCAGATTCGCTGGACAAGATCAAGTTAAATCCATGTACTCGTAGATTTTCTCAAGTTGTTGAATATCTCACACCCTAGCAAATGCCATCACAAAGGGAGAGAGAGATATGTATAAATTGGAGTTAGTTCCCAGGTTTTGAGGCATTCAGGAGGTGTTAAGGATGCATGTTTTATCATGTTTTTGAATGAACTCCCGCTGGGCAATGACCAGCTCTTTGAGGATCAGCGAGCTTGTCCAAACAGAGGAGTGGATGGGGCATTATCAGGTGGACATGTTTGGCGCTTTATTTATCAATCAATCTATATATATATAATATATATAATATATATATATATACATGTGTGTGTCCCATTCAACGGACATATGGATGTATATGGGATTATGAAGACATGCCTCAACTATCCTGTGGATGAAACAAGTATGGTAAACGAAAAGCGGGCAGTTTGTTTCTTCATTCAGCTTGTGAAATATTAGTTGGATGCCATCGCCAGGAAGAGGTGATGATCTATGAAGTTGTGGACCGCATGCCTGAAGGCCTTGGGCCAGCCTTGGGTGAAGCGGGAAGAACTGCTGCGCCACCTGGGGCTTTTGAAAAAACATGTGCGGAATTGAAATTACAGCAGTTGAATTGTGCAAGCCCAAGCAATTGATTCTCCCGAAATACTTGTATTGTTTTGCTGAGGTACCTTCCTTTCGTGGATTGTAGAAATTCTTCCCGCAGGTCATAAATTTTGACGGTTCCGATGCAGTCGAATAAGCTATAATTACATAAGATGTTGAAGATCATTCTGATTTCCACCACTGAGCCGTCTGTGTTCCATTCGAAGGTCGCTCGGTTCCTTTGGATGAATGAACCATGGGTCAATAATGGTTAATAGATTGCAGAGCCGTTCGCTACCCTCCAGAATCTGCATTATATGTTTGTTAAATGCTCAGGTATAACTGAACAAATCTGAATGCTGCGCACATGGCCATTTCATAACTGATCCCTTCGCCCTAATATCAATGCCCCAAAAGAAACGCTGGTTCACCATTGGATCTACTCATTGAGGGGGTCTATGTCAGGAATTGTTTAACATAAATAACATGGTCAGGGGGATTGGGATTCCTAGCATACTATCCAGGAAAAAAATGATGTTCATACTTGTCATGGTTCAGCATGGTTCAAGCCAGTTTTGGTATGGTAACAGACCAATGGATCCATAGATCAATGATTGTTGTCCATGAATTTAAGGCTTGCGCGATGGTTTCGAGCATCTCACCTTGGAATTGCTGGTGGTGGTGACCACAGCTGCGAGGATGAGGACACCATAGGGGCTATTCTTGGCTACTATATGCTATTGTAAATCATCGCGTTCATAGAGGTTTGGCGTATACCCAATAGACCCCCTATAGGCCCTGATTGGGGATGGTTTATTGTTGGGTTTACCACATCTTGTCGCCCTGATCTTGTACATATGCAACATTTGCACACAGGATGATTTAATACGCATTATGATTATATCATTCTTTAAATGTGGGTGTGAATGCTCATGAAAATACAACCAATATGATAGGTATATACCTGGTGGAATGGATAGGGCCTATTCATTTTGAGGGGCCATTTGAGGGAAGGGATTGGTTTAGATATGCGTAGAATAATGGAGCACCAATGGACATACAATAAATATGTGTCATTTCTTTGTGCTTGATCCCCTGCTTTTTCGGGGTTCTATGATGTTCACCGGTACCCGGTATTGGGCAAACTCAAAAGCACGAAGCATCCTCAATGACTTGCAGGAATGTGTGTGATTTCAGCCATCTCCAGTTGGAGGTTACCTCGCCTGAAATTGAGTCACACATGTGGAGGCATGTTGAGGTCGGACAGGATGCTCCGGGCCTACAGGACCACAGTTGAAGGTGAAGAGACCAACCCCATCCAGGCGGATTCACCGCGAGTCGTGGGTTTTTGGGATGGTCAAAGGTAACCGCTCCATGGGGATCCATGGGGATCCATGGGGCTGGGACCAAGCTCCACCCCGCCTTTTGGATAGCGAGTTGCACCCAGTTGTACCCTCCAGTTTTGATTGACGCCGGCATTGTCACCAGTGGTTTGCCTGGTCAGGCTTGGCTCTTGGAGTTAAATCTGGGCGATGATTTGGCGTTGTTTTGATGGGAATTTTCAGAACAATGAAATAGAATGAATTTGTGGTCTCAATGAACCACACGGTTGATCGCATATATTTTTGATCGTTACTCATTAGCTTGATTATGAGCGTGCAGAAGCCGGAACTGGGAGTGCCAGCCTTGGCCAGCAATCCGCCCGCAATCCGCCCGCCCGAAGTGTGACTCAGAGATACGGTGCAGTCGTCCCGGTGGCAACAACTGATGCAGCTAATGAAGTTTCCTATCAAATTACTCTTATATGTATATATATATACACCTGAAGTTCTTTTTTGGATTGGACATATTGATGATTGGACACAGAGAGAGAGATATACACACATATATATTATATACAATACATGTGTATATATATATATACACCACATACAGTAATTATGCATATATCTATATATATATATATATATCAAGAAATGCATGCGCGTGTGTGTGTGTGTTAGCTATATTTGCCTGAACGTTGATCGTTATTTCAACTTTTCGCGACTTTTCAATCCGTATCCAAGAACTGCCCCGCGATGGCGAGTGTCACCTTTGGTGATGGCCTCACGGCCATCCAGGCCTGGGCCCTGAAGGTGGAGAATGTCATAGAATATCTGCGCAGTTCTGATCTTGAATATGACATATACTTTGACATAATATGACATAATATGCATGTACTTTGTCATTCTTGCCAGGCCATCCAGCCGTCTCTGGAGCGCCATGCGGAGGTGCCAACATGCATGGATCAAGCTCGTATCTATGTAATCCTTTAAACATTCAAAATAATAGTAATCGAAGGAAGTTTAGAAGTCAAACTTCCGACAACATGGACAGATGAAAAGCAGAGCTGGGCAGAGGTAGAGAGAAGAGGAGAGTAGAAGAGAGTAGATCAGAGAAGAGAAAGAGTCAGAAGAAAGCAGATGCAGATACGCGAAAAGGTAGGAAAGTCGCGAAACACTGTGTTTTTCCAATGATTTGTGGCTCAGGAGGGTCGAAAAGTAGGCTCGCCAAAGCGGCGGGTGCGGAGCCAGCTGGCCAGATGAGAGATGAACAATTGCACGCCGTTGTGGCGCGAAGCACATTTCGAAGTGAAAATGTACAAAACACACCATTCTCGGACCACTTTTGGAAGTTGAGATGTCGAAGAAGTGCACGCCGTTGTGGCGCGAAGCACATTTCGAAGTCAAAATGTTAAAAACTTACAGGTTCGGACCACTTTTGGAAGTTGAGATGTCGAAAAAGTGCACGCCGTTCTGGCGCGAAGCACATTTGGAAGTCAAAATGTTAAAAACACCAGGGGTTCGGACCACTTTTGGAGGTTCAGATGTCGCTTCGCTTCGCTTCACTACACTACACTGCATTACACTACACTACACTCCACTACACTACATTACACTACACTACACACCACAACACTACAACTACAACTACACAACTACACTCCACTACACTCCACTACATTAAATTACATTACACTACACTACATTACACTATACTACACTACCTTCCACTACACTTCGCTACATTTCACTACATTACACTACACTACACTCGACCACACTACAACTACAACTACAACTACGCAACTACACTCCACTCCACTACACTCCACTACACTACATTACACTACGCTACACTACATTACACTACACTCCACTACACTACACTACATTACACTTACACTACACTACCTTCCACTTCACTTCACTACATTACACTACACTCCACTACACTACAACTACGACTACACAACTACACTCCACTAAACGAAACTACACTACACTACACTACATTCCACTACACTCCACTACACTACATTACACTACACTACATTACATCGAATGACACTGCACCACAGATAGACAGGTAGACAGATAGATAGATAGATAGATAGACAGATAGACAGGTAGACAGCTAGACAGATAGACAGATGAAAGAGAGAGAGAGAGAGAGAGACAGAGAGAGAGAGAGAGAGATAGATAGATAGATAGACAGATAGCTAGATAGATAGATAGGTAGATCGATAGATAGATAGATAGATAGGTAATTAGATGAAAGAGAGAGAGAGAGATAGATAGATCGATAGATAGACAGATACATAGAAGATAGGTAGGTAGGTAGATAGTCAGAGAAAGAGAGAGAAAGAGCGGAGACCTCAAGCACCTTTCGGTCCATCAGTGGATTCGCTCTGCCATCCCTGACTCACAACAACCAATCTCTCCTATAGGTTTCCTATTTTTGAAACTTCCGCCACCGCCTTGTGCGGCACTACTGGTAACACTATTATATATATATATACGTATATGGATATATTGCATATATGTATACAGGTTACTGTGTGCATATTATGTGTATGTATATTATATATATATATACGTATAAGGTGCTTTGCACAAGTATAGATGCTATATATGTTTTGTAAGTATAATACTTGGATATTGTTATATAATATATGTATGGTCCGTGTGTATGTGTGTGGGTCTGTGGGTGTTTTTGTATTTGTGTGCGTGTTGGGGGTGTGCATGTGTATATACAAGCACTATGATACTTGTGACCTCATGGCCGACCAAGCAAATGATGGGTGATCAAAAAGAATCAGCCACAGGGCATAAAAGGAGGTGTGGGAACTCTCATGCATTGCCAGGACAGTACCATGTCTCGGGTTTATTTTTAATCACTGTACTGATTGTTAGGTGCTTTCGGGAGGCTTCCCCCATAGGCAGTGCAGGTGATGATGAAATGATTCCACATGGCGCTTGCTCGCCCGTTCCAAATATATTACTGAGCCTGAATGGTCAGTGTTTCACCCGACACCTCCATACCCAAATGAGGAATGCTGTGGGTGAGGATGTTTTTCCCGTACCCAAACTGCAGAGCGCTAACTTCAAGCAGGGTTGTAGATTAAATGTGGATGGTCGTTTATTCTTTGTAACCTGGGAAATTTGCAGGTGTCATTCATCATATGTTTTGTTTCTGGAATTTCCGCAGGCTCTCTGAATGCCCTGAAGCACAACAGATGAACAGATCATGGTCCAAAAACCATCCCACGTCTGGGTCCCAGCCCAACTTCGACCAGGAATCCGTGGAAGTCCCAGCCCAAAATGGCATCAAATTGGACGTCTCTGAAGCGTTCCAAAGCATGTCCCTGGGCCACCCTTGGCTGATCCCAAGGGGTGATTTTGATAGTTGTCAGACGACAGTTGCAATCATTCCAACATCAAATAGCTAGGTTGATTAAAGTGATTGAAGTTTACAATTCTTGCCATCAGGAATTCCCAAGCTGGGCTTATTTTATGTCAGGTGTGGTGGTTGCAGTCCATCGCAACAGGTGATGTGTGCTGTGGATCATTGTGGATCAATGACCTGGAATTGGAACATCCAAGAGATTTAGTGCGCAGAAGAGGGCGTAGATTTGCCTTGCCAGTCAAACAATGACCACTTTGGGGTTTGCGTTTATTGTTTGAGTACTGAAGATTTGTAAGGATATATTTCAAGCGAGTGACTTAGGACTTGTGAAAGATACCCCGGTGTGGCCAAGTCCTATCTCATCATGCGTCGGACCCCCCCTGCACAAGTCCCAACTCATCCGGTGTTCGTATAAGATTAGAAACTATGTTTGATTTTTTTTACTGCGGCATGGGCCACTCGTAAAACCATGATGACATAGGACTTGTGCCCCTCTGGTGACATACGATTTTGTGCACCAAGTCCTGTGCGTGTATGTAATGTAATTTACTGTAATGTACTGTAACGTAATGTAATGTACTGTAGTGTAATGTAATGTAATGTAATGTAATGTAAGTATGTAGGTTCTGATGACTTAGGACTTGTGCCCATCTTGAAAAATTGTGATTTTCATTTTTCCTTCGATTTATATACAGACATTATTTTAAAAATTTGAAAAATATAAATATATGTTTTTCCACTTTTCATTTTTCTCTGTTGTTTCCCGTTTTGTTTCCCCGTTGTGCTTCCCTATTGTGGTCCCCTATTGGGAAAAGCTGCTTTTGTAACATAGCGAAGTGAAATGTTAATATTTGTGCATATCTATCTGAAAAAAAATCACAGTTTTTTTGAAATATTTTTTTTGAAGATGGGCATAAGTCCTAAGTCATCATTTTTTCAATGATTGGCTCGAGGACTTCGACCCAACGACGGGGTAGTGCAACGGGGAATACAATAGGGAAGCACAACGGGGAAACAAAACGGGAAACAACAGAGAAAAATGAAAAGTGAAAAACATATATTTATATTTTTCAATTTATTTACAGTAATTGCTTTAAAATACTGTCTGTATATCAATCAAAGGAAAAATGGAAAATCACAGATTTTTGTGAAATATGTTTTTTTCGAAGATGGGCACAAGTCCTACGTCATCATTTTTTCAACGATTGGCTCGAGGACTTCGCCCCAACGACGGGGTAGTGCAACGGGGAATACAATAGGGAAGCACAACGGGGAAACAAAACGGGAAACAACAGAGAAAAATGAAAAGTGAAAAACATATATTTATATTTTTCAATTGATTTAATTGCTTTAAAATACTGTTTGTATATCAACCAAAGGAAAACATGGAAAATCACAGATTTTTGTGAAATATATATTTTTTTTCGAAGATGGGCACAAGTCCTAAGTCATCATTTTTTCAACGATTGGCTCGAGGACTTCGCCCCAACGACGGGGTAGTGCAACGGGGAATATAATAGGGAAGCACAACGGGGAAACAAAACGGGAAACAACAGAGAAAAATGAAAAGTGAAAAACATATATTTATGTTTTTCAATTTATTTACAGTAATTGCTTTAAAATACTGTCTGTATATCAATCAAAGGAAAAAATGGAAAATCACAGATTTTTGTGAAATATGTTTTTTTCGAAGATGGGCACAAGTCCTACGTCATCATTTTTTCAACGATTGGCTCGAGGACTTCGCCCCAACGACGGGGTAGTGCAACGGGGAATACATAGGGAAGCACAACGGGGGAACAAAACGGGAAACAACAGAGAAAAATGAAAAGTGAAAAAAATATATTTATATTTTTCAATTTATTTACTTGCTTTAAAATACTGTCTGTATATAAATCGAAGGAAAAAATGGAAAATCACAGATTTTTGTGAAATATTTTTTTTGAGATGGGCGCAAGTCCTAAGTCATCATGTTTTCAACGACTGGCTCGAGGACTTCGACCCAACGACGGGGTAGTGCAACGGGGAATATAATAGGGAAGCACAACGGGGAAACAAAACGGGAAACAACAGAGAAAAATGAAAAGTGAAAAACATATATTTATATTTTTCAATTTATTTACAGTAATTGCTTTAAAATACTGTCTGTATATCAATCAAAGGAAAAAATGGAAAATCACAGATTTTTGTGAAATATGTTTTTTTCGAAGATGGGCACAAGTCCTACGTCATCATTTTTTCAACGATTGGCTCGAGGACTTCGCCCCAACGACGGGGTAGTGCAACGGGGAATACAATAGGGAAGCACAACGGGGAAACAAAACGGGAAACAACAGAGAAAAATGAAAAGTGAAAAAAACATATTTATATTTTTCAATTTATTTAATTGCTTTAAAATACTGTCTGTATATAAATCGAAGGAAAAAACGGGAAATCACAGATTTTTGTGATTTTTTTTGAAGATGGGCGCAAGTCCTAAGTCATCATTTTTCAAGATGCTTTACGAAACATTTTATAGAGATGACGGAGAGGTCATTTCACAGAGGGTTCCCACTTCCCGTTGTGCTTCCCTATTGTGGTCCCCGTTGCACTACCCCGTCGTTGGGTCGAAGTCCTCGAGCCATTCGTTGAAAAAATGATGACTTAGGACTTGTGCCCATCTTCAAAAAAAAATATTTCACAAAAATCTGTGATTTTCCATTTTTTCCTTCGATTTATATACAGACAGTATTTTAAAGCAAGTAAATAAATTGAAAATATTGAAAAAGGTATTGGGATGTAATGTACTGTATTTTAATGTAATGCAATATATGTATGTGCGTTCTGATGACTTAGGACTTGTGCCCCTCTGGTGACAGACGATTTCCAAGTCCTTTGCATGTATGTACTGTACTGTAATGTAATGTACTGTAGTGTAATGTACTGTACTGCACTTTACTGTAATGTAATGTAATGTACTGTAGTGTAATGTACTGTATATACTGTACTGTAATGTACTGTAAGTATGTAGGTCCTGATGACTTAGGACTTGTGCCCCTTTGGTGACATACGATTTTGTGCACCAAGTCCTATGCATGTATGTAGTGTAATGTACTGTAATGTAATGTAACGCACTGTAGTGTAATGTAATGTACTGCACTTTACTGTAATGTAATGTACTGTAGTGTGATGTAATGTACTGTACTTTACTGTAAGGTAATGTAATGTACTGTAGTGTAATGTACTGTACTGTACGGTAATGTTCTGTAAGTATGTAGGTTCTGATGACTTAGGACTTGTGCCCCTCTAGTGACATACGATTTTGTGCACCAAGTCCTGTGCATGTATGTAATATAATGTACTGTAATGTGCTGTAATGTAATGTACTGTAGTGTAATGTAATGTACTGTACTTTACTGTATTGTAGTGATGTAATGTACTGTACTGCAATGTAATGTACGTATGTAGATTCTGATGACTTATTAAGAGAAGATTTTTTATTTTATTTTTACCCTAAAAAGTGCTTGAATCCAATCACAACCCCAGTGACTTAGGACTTGGTGCACACAAATCACCTGGTAAGAACACCAGTGACTTAGGACTTGGTGCACAAAATCCTATGTCACTATGGTGGCCTAAGTCCTAAGTCACCAGTCCGAAATATAACATTGGGATGTTCGCAGCTTTTAGCGAATATCACCCAAAGTGTGTCGTTGATTACTGTATATAGCCATTGCACTATATTATTGTTTATTGCTTGTATATTGCCATTAATATATTGTACCCATTATACGCCCGCAACATGGCACCATTTTGATCCATTTGTGTCGCAGGTTGAATCAACTTCGCGAAGTCTACCTGTCACTGGCCTCAGTGAATCTTCGACCGATTGGATTGGAAAAAGTGGACCAACTTGGACGGATGGCTGGAGAGTTTAGGACCAACATGGACCAACCAGTTCCGAAACGAAATATCAGAGGGCTTCTAGATTTTGTGCCTTTTCCTCTCTGATCCTGTGCTCGCTAAAATGAAATTTGTCGGAACAAATGCCGGAATACATGCTGGAAAATATGTCAATATATTGTGCATGTCGCGGTGTAAGTCGCATGAAATTTGCCAGAACACAAGAATACATGTCTTTCATCATGACAGGGATGTATTTGCCCAACCATTTGAAAGTTTCATGTCTTGGGAGGTCTGCAGTATAAGGCTGGCCAGGGTATCTATGTATTTCTCAAGGTTCACGACCAGCCGTAGTGTTTGCACAGCTCTGAGGTTGGAAGTTTCAGAGATGCAGGCGCGCATTCATCAGTTATTGCAGGACAAGTCCAAAAAAGAAGATGAGGTGCCGCCGGTGCAGCTGTTTCACAAAAGCTCGACATGAAACCACGTGCTGCATGATTCTAAAGTTATAACAGTTATGACTTCTGTTGTTTGGTTCTTGGCGGATGTTTGAGAGCAGTTGCTCGTGTAAATCTGAGGGTCTCATTGTTTTTCTTTTTGCCAACTGGTTTGTGTGTCACTCTCATTTCATCATGTGAGATGTCCTGGGTGATGGAACATCCTCCCCTCATGGGTTGGCATCATTATATTTGATGGTGTGATCAAATGTGGGCCTCAAGGCATCAAGTATTACAAAAAACCTGCATAATTTCAGCAATCAACACAGTAGATTGAATCATTAAATAGGAAAACATCAAACAAGACTTGACACTACACAATACAGCTGGTCACTATGTATCACCAATGTTCGAGCGCTGTTAGGTGAACAAACTCCGGGAGGAGAACGAATCCTTAAAGAGCCCCGCTGCCCGAGCTGCCAACGACTCCAATATGCCTCGAGATATCGAGATCGACCCATCAAACCGTTGGCCACTTGACGAACTGACCCTGTTCGGGAGAGCATGGTTATAGAGGCATCTGGAAATGGCTGAAATTATATGGAATTTGTGCCCTTGGAAACTGGTCCAGCGGGACAGTTTGGGCGGATGTCACAGTCTCTAGTCTAAAGTTGGCAGATGCCGAGGACCAGCGGCACTAGCCAAAGCAATTCATGCAGGCACGCAGCAGGGAAGCCCATTGGAAGCCCATTTTTGCATCATGGAATACTGTATCACCGATACCACTCATGGATGATAATTAGTTATTGCATGTATTATATTGATTTATTTTTTGTCCTATGCACATGATTCTGTATATATATATATATATATGTATATATAGTTGTGCGTGTGTATGTGCGTGTGTGCGTGTGCGTGTATAGATACGTGTACTTATTGCGCGCACGCACACATGTAAAATACTGGTCAAAAACACACAGTAGTTGTACGTCCTTTTTTATTCACTTAGACGAAATGTCGGATTTTGGCAGATTTTTGGGTAAATGCGGGTATGCCATAGGTATGCAATTATGCCACACCTGATTTGGCATTTGCCCACGATGTTTCTTTCCGGTTTGGGATCGTTTGGATCCTACACCAACCTGGCCTGGAAAGGTGTCGTTGAGAAAATCCGTCCAAAGGACTTGACAGACAGAGCTAAACAATGCTAAGCATAAGCTTATAATCTATATACATATATATATATATATGTTTGTGTGTGCTGTGTGTGTGTGCTGTGTTTGTGAGATCAAGCACTGAACTTTCCAACGGATTTACGGATATACGTTTACTTCTGTGCAAAGGAAGATAAAGGAAGAGTGGGTCTAGCACATTGCAAGGTTACTTTCATGCAATTCTCACCAAGCAAACCTTGAAACTCTGTTCGACTCCACCGGAACATTCATCCGATTTCCCGGCCAGATTATGCCAGATTTTTCTTGAAGAAATCAGGGAACCGGTTCTGCACCTCTCACATGGTCATTATGAGTAATTATCTACCTGACACAAATTGTGATGGTTTCACTCTCGTTGTTCCACAAATCAGATAAGTAGCCCTATGGATTAGCCCCATGACATCCGCTTTTATGGATTTCATACAGATTTGAAGGGACAATTTAGTGGTTTTACCCCAAATCTGGTCACAAAAAATCAGCCCGTGGTTCCTGGCTTTCCGCCAGGATGCAACGAGAAGTCTCCTCAGGCCAACATTCGCAGAAAGGGCACACGAATCGTGGACTCCATGCTGCCATGGCCAAACAGCGGCAGCATCATAAGGACGCCGGCTGCGCAAGTGATGAGTCATGTGGTTGCCCCAAGTTTAGTTTTTTTTTTAAGTATATCCCAAGGTCCTAAAGTGGCACATGACTTGTCTATTTTTTTGGGGGGGGGTCCTACAAGGGGAAATGTCCTAGGAATGGCTTGGTAAACAGGTTTAAGATAAGGTGCAAGATAGTTCTCATAGTTATCACATATGTTAACCGTTGAGGTGTATGAATTGGGTGATGTCCCTGGCGCGGGAGAAATGGTGGATGGGGAGATTTGGGCCGCCAGGTCTGATGACTCCATGTTTGATCTAGGGATGTTGACATGCGCTCCTTGGTTTCCTATCCTTTGTGATGTTTCTAGATTCCAAAGGAAACATGATAAACATTATGAAACATGCATTGTGTGATGTATCTAGGTTTCAGGTAGACCGAGCGATGGAATAGAAAGATGAGAAATAAAATTAGACAATATCAAATTAAGTAATAGATATTTATTAATTTATGAAATTTATATACCTAATTATTCCCCATGTAGGTAGATAGATACATGTAGATATATTGATATAGGATGTAGATAATGATAGATACAGATGGATATAGATAGATGTGAGATTGGTGCGGTTCAACCAAGTCTCCAGCTGCAGCGCACGAAGTCCACAGCAAAAATGCAAAGGCAACGCGCCTCTTCCAAGCGCGGTCAGCGCAGCCAGATATGGCGGCAAGAGATTCCCACCCTATAGTGGATAAACATCCAAGGGGCATTGGGCCGTAACGGCCACCATTCGAAACTCCTTAGAAAGGACCTGGCAGGTGCATGGCAATGGCAAAGGTTGCATGGAGTGCAAACTAACACAGGGGGAGAGCTATATGCTATACAGCATTCATCCATGCATTGCTACAGGCCATGCCGTTGCACCCTGCTCTGTGATCCATGTCTCAAGCTCTCTTAGCAGAGACAAACCACGGCCATCCAGCACATACGGAGTCATCTCTCCAGTCGAACAAGCCGGGCATGGCTGAAATCGTCTCACTCCATTGGCTTCAGGCGGCCACGAGGAAGGTCTCGGTATTGCGGCTGAGCATGCCACACATTGTCGTTGGTGACCCAAATGATGTCACTCAACGGACAAATGTCAGCATGATCGAAGGATTCGATCAAAGCCCTTCGCATGACATCCACATCACGCTGACGGTCAGCGTTTTCCGGAAAGCCCTGGTTGCGGGCAAAGTTTCTGTACTCTTGGGCTATGTGCTGTTGCTCAAGTCTTCCACAAGTCTCCATGCTGAACCTTGGAGACTGCCGATGATGTTCAGCACGGCTTAATTCCTTTTCGTCAATCCCATCTTTCTGTAGTAGATGTGGATCCGTTTTCGCCGCTCCTTGTAGTCGGCAGGTTGGCCTGAAAACAAGGGGATGAAACTGTCTCTGGGATAGATTAGATAGATAGATTAGATAGATTAGATTAGATTAGGTTAGATTAGATAGATAGATAGCTAGCTAGGTAGGTAGATAGATAGATAGATAGATAAGAAAGATAGATAGATAGATAAGAAAGAAAGAAAGAAAGATAGATAGATAGATAGACAGATAGATAGGTCGATAGATGGATAGATGGATAGATGGATAGATGGATAGATGGATAGATAGGATAGATAGGATAGATAGGATAGATAGGATAGATAGGATAGATGGGATAGACTAGATAGAAAAAACATAGTTGGATAGATGGATAGATGGATAGATGGATAGATGGATAGATGGATAGATGGATAGATAGATAGATAGATAGATAGATCGATAGATACATAGATAGATAGATAGATAGATAGATAGATAGAGAGATAGGTAGATAGATAGATAGATAGATAGACAGATAGATAGATAGATAGATTAGATAGATTAGATAGATTAGATAGATTAGATAGATTAGATAGATTAGATAGATTAGATAGATTAGATAGATTAGATAGATTAGATAGATTAGATAGATTAGATAGATTAGATAGATTAGATAGATTAGATAGATTAGATAGATTAGATAGATTAGATAGATTAGATAGATAGATAGATAGATAGATAGATAGATAGATAGATAGATAGATAGGTAGATAGATAGATAGGTAGATAGATAGATAGGTAGATAGATAGGTAGATAGATAGGTAGATAGATAGATAGGTAGATAGATAGGATAGATAGGATAGATAGGATAGATAGGGTAGACAGGATAGATAGGATAGATTAGATTAGATTAGGTTAGATTCGATTAAATTGGATTAGATTAGATTAGATTAGATGGATAGATAGATAGATAGACAGATATAAATGTAAAATGGGTTGGTGAGATGAGCTAGACAAGTATTTGTGTATATGTTCATAGAGCGGTAGAGTCTCCCATTTTGCCCGGTTGCTGTATATATATATATATATATCTAGATGTTTTTTGAATGTGGAAAATTGATTACATCTTTAAAATATGGAATATTAATCCTATAGTTTGGGAAACCGTTACTATATCTAATCATATACAGGTAGATGTTCATCAAATAGCACCACTTTCCTATTACATCGATATTAACTTTTGATCATATCCCCATAGCCTATCATAAGATATATATATATATATATTCGTATATAGATAGAAGCCATGTGAAACCATTCTATACCATCATGTTTCAGCCATCCAGGAGGTTCACGCAGAGGATGTGATCCATGCTATGGATGCAGAGGTGGACAAAAAGTCACAAGACTCCATTGTCGAGCTCTTCAAACAAAATGTCGCCTTGTCAGCGTTGGCACTGGTGAAGTTGGTCAACACATGAGGGTTCACATGGGTTGGTCTCTTAAATGCATTGGTTATTTGGTTCATCATCAATATCATTGTTTCAATGGCTCTTTGGGGGGTATGCCTCATTTTCAGAGACACCCATATATTTGAATCGTGAAAGCCTCCGGATGCCATAGGTTTCCCCTCCCGTTGCTTCACCATCATGAATGTCTGTAGCTGTAGAATCGCGGCTACCAGCGGAATACTCATCATTATTCTGGAATCCTTGACTTGGGGAAAAAACAAAGTAAGCCGTTTGGCGGTTTGTGCTGAATTTTTATACATGTTCCAGGTCCTTTGATTCTTTCTGGACCCATTGATAACTGGATCGGACCAATGACCGTCGTTTTCCATTCGCATTTAGACCCACATTGAAAAAAATACCCCAGGACATGCGAAGGCTGATCAAACAAGACGCTTTCGCCCACTTCTATCCATCGGACGCCCGGCGTGGCTAGGACCATCTTTGGAGAGGTTGGTGTATGCCGCTGCAACCATGGACAGCAACACATTTCATGCATATCATTTAGTGTTCCAACATGTTCCAACCTAGGACCTAGGGATCCTTTAGTCATTTCTTTGGTCATTTGTTTGACCACTGCCACACCAGATATCGGATATACCAGTACCATCCAGCGCCGCGTAGGGGTCCACATACCTGTCCTGTTGGCCATCAGGAAACTCAATCCGAAAAGGAGCACCGGCTTGCAAATATGACACGCCGCGAGCGATTTGGTGAATGGTTGCACCTTGTCAAATTGCGCTTTGAATACCCTTTTTTGTGTTTGCATCATGATAACCTGCAGGTCCCAGAAATAAGCCTTGGACACCTCATTTTAGAGCAGAAAATTACAAAAAGATCAGCCCTTTTTGGAGGGCTTCCAGGAGGGCAGCTGTGCCGCAAGGAGGTATGCGGAACTATGTAAATTTGGGGATGGTTTGAAACCTATTTGTGACGGGAGAGATGAACATCCCTTTACCAGCTATTCGGGGGTTGACCAGGGCACCAGGGCTTTGACCCATAGCCAATTGATTTACTTTGGCAATTTGGAGATTCTGAACTCCATCAATCAGACAGCGACCACAGGGAATGTTACAGGGTCTGCAAACTCAGCATCGTGTCTTGCAGCATCTACGGCTCACCATTTTCCATGGCAACAGGCGACCCAATGAATGAAGTCAATGAACACTGGAGAAAGGATGAGAAAGGTAAACATGCTCTGAGTCTAGATCGACATGTTTGAATATGGGAGAACCTGAGCCGCATTGATCATCGTTCACATAGATATTGTATATCTATAATAATTAATATATGTATGTATGTATGTAATGTATGTATGTATGTATGTATGTAATGTAATGTAATGTATGTATGTATGTATGTAATGTAATGTATGTATGTATGTATGTATGTATGTATGTAATGTATGTATGTATGTTATGTATGTTATGTATGCTATGTATGTTATGTATGTTAGTAATGTGTGTAATGTATGTAATGTATGTAATAGTATGTAATGTATGTAAATGTAATGTATGTATGTATGTAATTATGTAATGTATGTATGTATGTATGTATGTATGTATGTATGTATGTATGTATGTATGTATGTATGTATGTATGTATGTATGTATGTAATGTATGTAATGTATGTAATGTATGTAATGTATGTAATGTATGTAATGTATGTAATGTATGTAATGTATGTAATGTATGTAATGTATGTATGTATGTATGTATGTATGTATGTATGTATGTATGTATGTATGTATGTATGTATGTATGTATGTATGTAATTAATGTATGTATGTATGTATGTTTGTATGTTATGTATGTATGTATGGTATGTATGGTATGGTATGTATGGTATGTATGGTATGTGTATGTATGTATGATTGATGTAATGTATGCATGTATGTTATGTATGTATGTTAGTATGTTATGTATGTATGTATGTTATGTATGTTATGTATGTTATGTATGTTATGTTATGTATGTATGTATGTATGTTATTATGTTATGTATGTTATGTATGTTAGGTATGTATGTTATGTATGTTATGTATGTTATGTATGTTATGTATTGTATGTAATGGATGTGTATGTTGTAATGTATGTTGTATGTTATGGATGTTATGTATGATGTATGTATTGTATGTATGTAGGTATTGTATGTTATGTATGTATGTATGTAATGTTATTGTATGTAATGTATGTATGTTATGTATGTATGTATGTATGTATGTATGTATGTATGTATGTATGTATGTATGTATGTATGTATGTATGTATGTATGTATGTATGTACCCTGGGGGTCCACGACCTTTGAAAGAAAGGTGGTTATAGAACCCCCTTTGTTTGCACTTTATTGTTTGTTCATTGGCGCTGGTAGTATTTAAGAACCCGCACACCTCTAGGAGCAAAAAAAACGATGTAGTCGACGGCAGCAGTACTGATCCATTTGTGGGGACTCTAGTGGGAGCGTTTTATAAGTCGATCTTTTCTGACCGCCATGTTCACACAGAACATTTTGGAAGCTTTGCGTGTGATTTCCATGGAGCTCCAAAAGCTCATTGAAGAGTTGAATTTTTGCCCCAATAATGCAAAAAAAAATCAGATTCGTGACGACAAAGCCCTATTTAGCCTGCCGCGCAATGGTTTCAACTTAACTTTGAACTTGAACAGCTAAACTTTGAAACCGAAGTAAACTTAAACTATTGGTGGCAATTTGCCGACAAACAGCCAGTATGGTTGGATTTGTTGTAAAATAAGCCAATGGGGGCCCAGCAGGACGAACACGAAAAGGGTCAGAAACATCTAAAGATCATCCAAACATTTTTTTTTTGTCAGGCAATACTAGTAGCATGGTTTTGTTTCTGTTTGATGCGTGTATGTGGAGCGGCATGTTGAGGCCCAGAGCTTTCAACCTTTTTCTTTTGCACGGAAGTTGAGTGGTGTAAACATCAAATATCACAACGATTCTGCTGGTACTTGCAAACCATGGACGCACAAAACCAACATGACTCCAAACTTGTTGTTTGTGACAATCATCAAGAGATATCCTGAGCCAAAGCGCAGTCAATTATAATTACTGATGATAAACCCATATTGAGGCTGCAGTTTCAAAACTGTAGGCCGTCTATGTTGTTGTTCAGTGATGTGGCAATAGGATGCAACAGGCTCAATGAGTCGAACTTGGTTGTACTGAGTTGGTTTGGAGGTGTTGTAGGAATGAAGTTTTCTCTAAAGCAATCTGCGCCTTATCTTTTGAGTTCTGGGGCCGACTTTTGATTTTCCACCGACTTTTCATTTTCGAGAATATACACATGTATGAATAGCATACATATTGTAGCAAACAATATCACGTATCCAGTCACATGTCTTCGTGGGATCTCTTTGCTCTTAATGTGTGTGGCTCTTAGTGTGTTGTTCTCTATGGGGTATCCTATCATGATGCCTCATCTTGCAATAGTAAGTTTCAGTATTCACCACCTTCTGTGCAAATTGGATAGTGGCCACTCTTGACCTTGTCTCTTTCTCTAGGTTGTTGTTTGTGCTCATTTGTCGGTTTACCCTTAGATACCACGGCAGAATGCCTCTTCGAGATTGACTTTTGAAACCCAACCTGGCCTGCACATGTGCTTTTGGGATGCTGCTTTTTTTTGTTGTTTTCGTCTCTGCCCAAAGACTTGCAGCTAGGCAGCTGCCAACAGAAAACATTGATCGATGTTTAATCGGCAAGGATAATGGAAGAAAGAAACGGTATGTGTCAGTAGGGTAGCAAAAAGAGGCCAGTATTCAATTGCTATACCAAAAAAAAAAAATACAAAGCAGCAATTGATGATACTGTCAAATTTCTTGCAAGTGTTGTCCAGCACTGCAATGAAGCCTTCAGATATACAGTGTGCACACCTAAAAAGCCAACAGCGTGAAACTTGCGTGAAACTTGCGTGAACCCCCTTTTTTTGGCGTGAACCCCCATTAAATGGCGTGAACCCCCATTACCCCAAAACGGGCATATTTTTGTCAGTGCAGTTGCGACTTCGGTTTCACAATTCTGGATTTCTATGCTAAGAATGTGGCTGGTGTAAGAGTTTGGCAAATTCATTGCTGGATCCATACCTAAAGAACAAATTCCAGTAGAGCTAGGAGAGCAAACATAGAAGCCCAAATGTACACGTACATATTCATACCATAGTTTTGTTTCGGGAGGGAAGTCTGCGTCTGCACAACCGACAATTCAATCCACTTTGAAGTGCATGTATATGTGTGTATATCATAATGCAAGATGGCCCCAAATCTACCTGATGGGTGCTTGCACACTTTCTATGCCTTCAACCATTTTTTAAAGAATCCGCTGCATCTACCAGCAAGGCAAGCAAAGAAAAAAACAAGACGTACGCAGAGAATACATTCAACATCTTTGAACTTTGATCAACAAAATGCAAGCGCTGCTGGACTCCTAGACCAGCTGAAATTGTGTGACAAAAACGGTTACAGTAGGCCCTCTCTATCAGGCTTCGTGCATTGTAAGTAGGAGAGATGTTGTCTCCTGACAAAACATATCACATCATCTCTGAACTAGCCAATTGTTTCATTAATTGAATGGGTGTTGGGATGCAAAGAAACATTTGACGAATGGGCATATTGTTTGCCTGATGTTCTGATTTGTTTGTTTTGCTCTTCTTGCCACTGTTTATAGTATATAGTATTGTTTGAAATATGGCCCACAAAGAGAGAGAGAGAGAGGGAAGACAGAACAAATTCAACAAATCACACACACACATGATTGGCTGACCTTGTATATATGGATATGTTTGACCAAGTTTGTTTGTGACAGCAAATTTATGGCAAGTTCTGAGCCACATGAAGCCAAGAATTGACACATTCACATGAAATACAGCAGGTCAAATATTGTTGTTTGGAGCACAGTGTCATTGCTAAAGAGGTCGCAGGTCTCAACTCCTGTCTCAGTACAGTAACCTCGAGCAAAGCAACATGCACAGAGCAAGCGAGAAGATGTGGCAATTGCATTGTTAGTAGAAGAACATATTTGCATAAGGTGCTCGCGTGTGACACAATCTGGCGCACAGTGCGTTGCGGCATGTTTCGCAACATTGCAAGGTCCAAACTTGTTGTTAATAGCTTTGTTTATACAGTGCAAGTCTTGCATCTAATCAGTACTTCCAACTAGAGGGTGTTGACATTCCATTCCCACCATCCAAAATCCACAACAGAATAAATTGATGATGCCTACATGTCTGTGTCTGGAAGCAACAGATTTTTGAATTGGGGGTACTCCTGTTAGTAGTTTGCATGCTTTCAGAACTCTCAAGTTGCTGTTCAATCAAATATTTGAATGTTTTCTGAAGTCTTTGCTGCTTTCACTCTTACTTTTCGACATTTGCTCTTTATCCGCCCGTGAAAGAGCAAGTGGAGTCTTGAAGAATATCTTTGTTCTTTGCTCCCCTGTGAATCACTTCAGCTCTACCAGTCTGAAAAATGGCATTTACTCGACCAAAGCAAAAAGGGTGAGCACACAAGAAAATGAACCACTCGCTAGAATAGTATTTTGGGCCTAACAAACAAAGGGGGTTCTACTAAACCCCTTTGTTTCACAGGTGGTTGGAATCCTAGGGTATATATATATGTATGTATGTATGTATGTAATGTATGTAGTGTAGTATGTAATGTAATGGTATGTATGTAATGTAATGTATGTATGTATGTTAATGTAGTGTCTGGTCACTGTCCTTCTCTGTCTGTCCTGTCTGTCTGTCTGTCCTGTCTGTCTGTCTGTCTGTCTATAGCTGTCTTCCAGCCGCCGAGGCTCACAAACGGCACCTGTCTGTCTGTCTGTCCTGTCTGTCCTGTCTGTCCTGTCTGTCCTGTCTGTCCTGTCTGTCCTGTCTGTCCTGTCTGTCCTGTCTGTCCTGTCTGTCCTGTCCTGTCTGTCCTGTCCTGTCCGTCCTGTCCTGTCCGTCCTGTCCTGTCCTGTCCTGTCCTGTCCTGTCCTGTCCTGTCTGTCCTGTCCTGTCTGTCCTGTCCTGTCCTGTCCTGTCCTTTCTGTCACTTTCTGTCTGTCCTGGCCTGTCCTGTCCTGTGCCTGCCCTGCCACTGCAATGGCATGGACATGTCACTGTCATGTCCTGTCCTGCTGTATGTATGTCGTGTTTGTCTGTATGTCGGTCTGTCATGATGTATGTATGTAGTATGTATGTCGTCTGTTGTCATTTCATGTATGTCTGTTCTGTCTGTAGTCTGTCTGCCTGTCTGTTATGTCTGTATGTCTTCTGTATGTTGTGGTCTTCTTTACTGCTGTCTGTCTGTTAGTCTGTCTGCTATCCCTCTCATTATATATATATTGCATGTCAGCGGTTCATTGTGGAGGTCGGTATATGAGTATGCGCTTGCGCGTTTCAAACTTTGTTTTATATATGCTTTGGAATTGCCACATTTGCAAGACCCGGAAATCACAAGTCTTACGTGGCTATCGTGGCTAATACTGGATCACAGCTCGGACGAATGCCTCTCGTCCTCGCAAGTTCTAGTCAGTTCGCCGGTGACTGAGGGAGTCGCATCAGTACGAGATGATTATGGCGATGCATCTGGGCATCATCTGGGCATCCATTACAAGAAGTCACCATCTTAAAGAACATAAACAGTGCATGGAAGAAATTCGTAGAAATCCGGTATCAGCTGATAGGTGGTTTACAGGATCAGTTTATACTACTGCATTTGCTGCATCCCATTATTTAGAAGGTTTCAACCATTCAAGGTGGTGCGATTTTTGTACCATCGACAGTGCCACACTATTACACAGTATCACATGAAATCACATGAAATCATGCAACAGAAGAAAATGCGACTAGACTAACTGCATTTAGGAGAAACTAGTTATAGCATGTTATAGCTCTGTCACTATGTGATGATTTGGTCTATTTGCATATCTTTGTCATTTCCCGAAGTCTGAAAGAGTCCCCTCTGGTGGAAAACCATCCTGAGTGGTAGTAGAATATTGCAGTCCAAAGTGGAACTGTGGATTGGGTGGAGGGAGACTGGGATGGCTGCGACGACTACTGCTAGGGGGCTCAGGTGTCTCTGTTTGAATGTCTTCACCATGGCATCGGAATTGCAGCCGCTTGTCGGTCATCGCGAAACTGGCGGTGGTGGGTTTGGACCTTGTTTTACACCCAAATAATTATGGTGGTTCCCGGTTCCCCTATAAATCCTATAAGGAATTGATGTGGCATGATTGAGGTGTGGCAGTTCGTGATAGCTCCAGGTTGATCAGCTTTATCCGTGCCTTACAGAATTCAATAATTAGTTACAAAGTGGCACTTGTTTGGGCCTGTGGCCAAGTGCAATCTTTGGGTTGCATGACGCTGCTTTGGGAGCCACTTGATCAATTCCTTTTAGCCCCTGGAACTGGCACATTAGGATCATGAGGTCAAGGACTATCAAGCTGGGAAGGGGTTGTCACCTGAGCAGCCACAGTGGTTGCTGCGTTACTATCATGGCAGTCCTGCAGTGTCCCTACCTGGAATCCCTCAGAAACTGCTCAGATACTATGGAGGCAAAGCCGGTGACATGGCTGCCAGTGTGTCACGGGGAGCATGTTGATGGGATTCGCCGGGAGATGCAAAGCCAATGTTCTCAAAACATATTCTATGATGATGATGATGATGATGATGATGATGATGATGACGATGTTGATTTATGATGATGGTGATAATTCGGAATGATGATGATGATGATCATGATGATGATGTTTTTTTTTTAACAATGATGATGATTCATCATGATGATGATGATGACTCTTAATGGCGATGATGGTGATGGCAATGATGATGATGATGATGATTCTTGACGATGGTGATGATGATGATGATGATGATGATGATGATGATTCATGATGATGATTCATGATGATGATGGTGATGATGATGATGACTATGATGATGCTGATTCATGATGATGATGACGATGATGATGATGATTCATAATAATGATGATGATAATTCTGTTTTTTAATAGTGATGATGACCATTCATGATGATAATGATGATTCATGATGATGAGCGTGATGATCTTTTGTATTGATGATAATGATGATGATTTTTGACGATGGTTCACCATGACGATGATTCATGAGAATGACGACGATTTTTCATAATGATTTTGATGACAATGATTCATGATGATGAGGATTCATGATGATGATTCATGATGATGATTCATAATGAAGATGATTTTGTTTCTTAATGATGGTGATGGTGATTCATGATGATGATGATGATGATGATGACAGTGACAATGAGGATGATATTTTTATTTTTCATAATGATGATGATGATGATGATTCACAATGATGATGATGATGATGATGATGATGATGATGATGATTCATAATGATGATGATGATAGTGATGATGATGATGATGATTATGATAATGAAGATGATAATGATTATTAATGTTGATGATGATGATGATTCATGATGATAATGATGATTCATGATGATTATGATGGTGGTGATTCATGATGATGATGATGATGATGATGATGATGATGATGATGATGATTATGATGATGATGCAGATTGATGATGTTGATGATGATGAGGAGGAGGAGGAGGTGTATATGCACATGTTTGATGTCTACTGTGTATTTGCTTGCGCGGATCAGAATTGCAGGGCCGCAAAGTTAGGTAGTGTATCTTTTTTGGGCTTGTGCCTGGGTGTAGAAATGTATTGGAATGTACAGTATTTGTTTCTCCCGATCAGGGTGAATTATCCTTGGATGATGAGGATTTGTTACGGCTCCATTCGTGATGTGTCATGTTACAGCTGTAAAGTAGTCAGATGTTGACAGGATTCAAAGAGGATGTGATTGAGTATGCATATTCTTTTGTTTTTTCCGTTCCATTAATTATGTTTCCTTCCCCTGATCATATAAAATTATTATATGCACGATTATGCACATTTGTGTGTGTTTGCATGGTTTTGTGAGATTGTCCGTTCATGGGCCATGGCTTTTGTTTCTTGCTTCATGGCTGAGGCGCTGAGCTTGAGCTCTACCCAAGAGACACCGTAGTTGAACCTGGGTGGCGATTGAGTGCATGCATAGAATCCTAACATCTTACCTCAACAATAGCCCATGAAAGGAGATGCACCCGTTAATGGGCCATATTTCTTTGGGGTGAAACTGTGGGGGTGCTGCCTATTCGTATGTTCACAAAGCTGTCAGTGCCATGTTTGTGCGGTCAGCATGTGTTTAACCCTGTGTGCAGCAATACGATGCCGTATGCCGTAAAGTAAACAGCAAAATACAAAACAAAACGAGGTAACACATGAAAATGCATAAGATATAACACAGAACAATACAAATACAATACTGCAACACCACAATACACCAATACACCAATACAACAACACAGCGCAACGCTACGCTACAATACAACACTATACAATATAGTACAAGTCAATACATTAGATTTGTCCTTCCATCTATCCACCCATGTATCCATCCATACATGCAGGCATCCATACATACCTACATACGTAAGTGCATTCATCCATACACATGCACATGCACATTCACATGCACCGCAGAAGCACATTAATTTGCATCCACATCTACATGTGCACACCTGATTTGCTGAAATGTAACAACATGTAGCAAACACAGTTGTTGTGTGTGTGGGAAACCCTGAATCAAAGGGTATAAGCAGGGGGCCATCCCTCTCATCATTGGTGGATGGCCAACGGAGAGGCCAATGATGAGAGCTGCAAACGTACCTGCAACCTTCCACTTTCGGACATGGCCAGGTGGCTAAGCCATAAACCACCCATGCCGACATGACATGACATGACATGCTAACATAATAACATTACATTACATGATTTCATCTCATCTCATCTCATTTCACCCTCTCCCTTCGGGGTGTATCCAAGTGTGTGTGTGTGTGAGCATGCATGCATATGCGTATATACATGCAGATTATGGGTATAGACCTATATCGATACATATGATGTTTTTTTTGGTATACGCATATATCATGTAGATCCACATTGCTCATATGTTTCGATATCCCAAATTCCTCCAGTTGTGTCAAGTGTATGTTGCAATGGTGTTTTGGCATGGCATTACGTATGCTTGGCCAGGACGGAGTCGGCTGGGAGACTTTTTTCCAGGACCTCTTAGGGCTGCCCATGCTGCTATGTCCAGAAATTCCGGAAATTTATGACACACCTCAATTTTGCAAGCATCCAGTTTCCAGATCTTCAAACAACTGTGAATTTAGCATCAAATTGGTTGTCCATGACCAGCGACCCTCCAGCTCCCATTCCGGATGGACTATGGACAGGCTACTGACATGTTCTTCACCATCCTTTTTGCTGTGGATGTTGTAGTCCGCATATGCTCCTCGGTTGGAGACACATCGGACGGTGGGCAACACCTTGACTCTTCGCACCAAAATGGAAAGGACATACTGTAGTCTTTAACTATAGGTAGTTGCAGTTTGTGATCGCACGCATACAGTAACTATATATATATATACACATACATTCATACAATTACATACATGTGAATATGTGTTTGCGCACGCATATATATATATAATGATTTATTGCATCTGCATATGCATGATACCCCTCTTCTGTCATCAACCTTTCCAAAGTCAGTCCAATTCAATAGCTGTTCCTTTCTGAAGATACTTCAGAAATAAGGTCTTCCCATTAGATTGTTTTGATCAAGTGTGTTCCACATTTTTCCACAACAGATTGCAACAGCCAGTCAGTAAGTGTTGCGGGCTGGTTGTAAGCCTATGGCCTCCTAAGATGGCGCCCCCACACCAGATGTACAGCTTGAACCGATTGCCGTCACCGATGGTCCGTGTGGAGCGCGTCAAAAATTGAGTTGTATTATGAACCCATCTCTTAGTTATGTCATCCATCTAGTGACATTATTCATCCATCTAGTCAATGGCCATTTCAGGAACCTAAATTGGAGGTACCTACCATATATAAGGCCTATGTAAGGGAATATCCCCACAAAATATGGCCTTATATGGTCAAGTACCTCCATTTTAGGATCCTGAAATTCCCATTGATCTAGTGACATTATAAACCCATATATGAAGGCTTCCTAGAATTGGGTGTACTCTAAGTACCCCCGAGTACCCCAAAATGATCCATTTCCAATGTGAACCATCCATTTCTGGGTTTCCCCCATTTGTGAAAACCCCCATATTATAGACCTCGTGACTCGTGAGCGATTCCGACCTCTGGAAGCACCAGGTTTTTTGCGACTACGATTCTGGAAGACTTGGTTGAACTACGTCGATGTGGGCGTTCCTGGGCTTATCAGATCCCGGTGCTACCTGAGGACGATGGTCAGGGGACATTTATAATTGATCATCATGATACAATATTCATATTAAGTATTATTGAACAAAGTAAGATCATCATCAAATCATCAAACATATATGATAAGAATGGCATTGTCGCATATTATCGTGTACATTCCCTCAATTACAGTGATGAATAAAAGTTTCTTACTTGTTACATGGCCCAGGTGGCAACGACCTCCATGGTTGAGATGACCATTTTGTGGGCCTCCAACCTGCCGGTGAACCCGGTGCTCTTCCGCTTGTTGCGCATCGGCAAGCTGGCACGGGCCATTCGAATGGTCACCATGACCAACATTCTGCCGCTGGGCGATAGCACGAAATCATCCAAGTGTAGGTCTTGGGACACCCAGGAGTTGCGGAAAAGATCAAGTGTACACGATCATTCCCTACCAATTGTTCGAGAAAAAGAGGAGTACACCCGATGGGCATAAGTGGTACCAAACCGACCCCTTCACTGTTCCACGAGGGCATCATTGGTTTCCCTTACAGGCTTGACAGTTTGGAAAGGTATCCCAAGTAATATAATTAAATATATCTCAGACTCACATAGCGTGATGACTTGAAGGGCCATGGTGACATAGTGGCCATGGATTCCAAGGCAATCCCTGCAGTTGCTGGTGAAATGTCACTTGGCTCTTCAGCCATGGCAGCCATGGTCCTCTTTGCTGACGGCCACTGAAATCCTTGGTGCCTGAGGTCTTGGATCCAGCGCGCATATGTTGTTCTGGCTGCTGGGCACAACATGGCACAACAACAAACCGGGGCAGGGGGCTGTTGAATGATTAAGATCCGTAGCAAATCATGACGTGTTTTTCTTGGAACAGTACGCTAGGGCGCTTCGTCATTTCATCATTCAGTTTAATATGTGGTATGCCTCCGCAATGGCAATTTATTTCATGGTGATGATGAACCACTGGATTGTCTCCCCTTTTTTGGGACAAACCCATAGTGAATGGAAATATGTGCTTGCACTTTTTGCCTGCTCCATTCTTTGCAGAACAGTTGCAGAGGACATTCTTGCAGGACCCAGTTCTCATCCCAAAAAATAAAAATAAAATCGACATCAGAGCAGTTTTGCACATTCCATGTTCAGTAGCGAGGAGTTTCTGTTTGCTGGTCTTTGTGCAGAGCGTTGCTGGCCTTGTGATCAGCACTGTTTGCATGGTGACTTGGATGACTTGGGTGACTTGGACAATGGACTGACTTTGGAGACCCGGTGGCTGGTTATGGATGACGACGACGACGATGACGATGACGATGATGACAATGATGAGGATGATGAGGATGATGATGATGATGATGATGATGTGAAAATACATTTCATGACATTGATGACATGACGATAATTATGTTCAATCCCCTCCCTTTGATTATTAGACTCTGATTAGACTAGCCACCTAGTGTTTGATTTGCGTTGAATTGCCTTGAGCCTCCAATCAGCAGATACATGTTCACAAACTACCTGTTGACTGCTTTTGCATATCATGAGGATGGCTAGAATTGCCAGAGTCAATATCTAGAATCTAGATGTCCAAGAAAAGCCATAAGAAAGACAAAGTGAAGGTGCTCCGATGTTTTCGGTGAGGGGTCGCTCGATTTACGAGCTTGAAGTTGCATCATCATCCCCAGTTCATTGTCGTACCAGCCAGGATAGACCCAACATGTTCGCCCCCGAGCCCTGCTAAGGATTTCATGACCAATGAACGTTACACTCAAGCGCTTCGGGAGGCCCTTGAACAGTGTGAGAATGGGTCTTGCTGGCCCCAGATGGTGTAAGACGTGGAAGCATGAAAAGGCAAAACATATGCAGGGTGATTAAAGGATTAGAACATCACTCCCTATGGAACCAAACACTGTCTGAGCAGGTACCCAACACCCCTGAATCACACCCAAAGTACTTCTTTCGATCCACTATTGCCCTGTTTTGTGGCTTGGGAGAGTAATGCGACAGGGTTCCATGCAGGGAAATATAGGCTGTTCAAAGCTTTGCTCTTTGGAATTCTATTCGAAAATCATTTTCTTCGGAGTCTAGGGATGGAAGAAAAGGATTTTCAAGTAGCTGAACCAAGGATGGGGTGACATTGGTTGACTATCACTTGTTTCACCACATCCGGCCTTGGCTGCAATGAAAGCCAGGAAGTGTTTCGCTTTTATGGTACCTTCACTCGCACCTTTCTGACTATGTTTGAAACTTGGTTCGCAAATACCACTCGGCTCACTTTCAACTCTGCCGGATTATCTCATAAACGATACTTCCCCACCTGCCAGGTGAGGGTTGTTAGATTTTATGTCAGTTGCCTCCTCCTCCTGCCTCGTCCTCCTCTCGTCCTCCTCTCCTCCTCCTCCTCTCCTCCTCGTCCTCCTCGTCCTCCTTGTCATCCTTGTCATCCTTGTCGTCCTCTCGTTGTCCTCGTCGTCCTCGTTGTCCTCCTCGTCCTCCTGCTCAACTGCGACTCGCGATCCACAGTGTTCGCTGCCGGACCTCAACCACGACCATCCACGCCCAGTGTTCCCTGCCGGACCTCAACCACGACCATCCCCGCCCAGTGTTCCCTGCCGGACCTCAACCACGACCATCCACGCCCAGTGTTCCCTGCCGGACCTCAACCGCGAGTATCCACGCCAAGTGTTCCCTGCCGGACCTCATGTAGGAAGATATGGGACAAAGAATGTGCAGAAGAAAGTTAGAAAGAATGTCAGAAAGAATGTCAGAAGATATGCCAGAAGATATGCCAGATAGAATGCCAAATAGAATGCCAGATAGAATGCCAGAAAATATGTCAGAATATATGCCAGAAGATATGCCAGATAGAATGCCAGATAATATGCCAGAAGATATGCCAGATAGAATGCCAGAAGATTTGCCAGATAGAATGCCAGAAAATATGCCAGAAGATATGCCAGATAGATATGCCAGAAGAAATGCCAGAAGATATGCCAGATAGAATGCCAGAAGATATGTCAGAATATATGCCAGAAAGATATGCCAGATAGAATGCCAGATAGAATGCCAGAAGATATGTCAGATAGAATGCCAGAAGATATGCCAGATAGAATGACAGAAGATTTGCCAGATAGAATGCCAGAAGATTGCCAGAAGATATGCCAGACATATGCCAGAAGATATGCCAGATAGAATGCCAAATAGAATGTCAGAAGATATGTCAGATAGAATGCCAGAAGATTTGCCAGTAAGAAAATGTATAAATGTCATGGTGGGGATCACACGAAGTAAAGTAATTTTTTTGGTAGCATGTCCTGGAGCTGGCTCGACACCCACAGAGGATGAACTGAACATTTCACCACATGGACACCATGTTCCTGTACGTTTGACTAGCCGGTGATGTGATTGATTTTGACTTTTTACACAATGCTTTCTGTGTTTGATTGGAAATGATGTCATGATCCATTGGCCCACGAGGTTTCCTTGCTATTCCTTACTGCTTGATCATTGCAGGATCACGATATCCTATGGCCTGTCGTCCCTCACGATATTGGGGTCATGTTTGCGACAGATCTAAGGAAATCATGTTTGCGAATTGGAGTCCGCCATGTCGAGCCCCTTGGCGGTGGCACTTGAGATGACGGATGGCACGAATGACACGTACACGTATATACATGTGCTTTTGAATTGAGTCCTCTTGGGGCCTATATTATATAATATAATAATAATATATATATATATATATATATATTCGTTTGGATGCATGTTTTTTGCCTCCATTTGCCCCCCATGCAATTGCCTTTCCTTGCATTCCACTTTATCCAATTGTGTAACCAGAGCTTGTTTGGATGCGCTCGTTGAATTCCCTCGTGCCGAGGTTTTGGTCGAGAACATCAGCGAGTGGTTCTCGCTGTTCTTCCTTTTATACCGTTGCGTCCTAGGCCAGGGCCGCTGGGCCGGGACCCATTGGGACCCACCAGAGGGTTTTCCAGCCCCAGGTTTTGCTGTGCTCAACATCATCAATTCCGTCACTTGGTGGCTGTCTGGGTGATGGGGTCTTCACATGTCTTCACTATAGAAATCGCCTATAGATAATCACCTTTGAAACCCCGTGGCACCAGCGTTAGCAGACAATGGATCAATACATGAGGTGGAATTATCAGAAGCTGTCAAGAAACTTAGGCGTTTGTCGGAGCTTAGGTTTTTGTGCAGCAGACGATGAAAACGGCGAGCTCCGACGAAGAGCTTGCCTTTAAACAGTGCCTTGCTTGAGAGCTTTGCAGATGCAGCGGCCAGCAACAAACATGTTTTGGCTCTCTCTACGTAGAGAGCTTATATGGATTGTCCTTGAATAAGTGCTTGCATTCAAGCGAGGTTGCGCAGTTTTATTGCATGACACGCTTGCACGCCGCACTACCCATTCTTTGGAACTCTCCAATTGGAATTACTGTAGTTTGGGCATAGGGCCATGTCATGCGAGAAAACTGCCTGCAGCGTTCACCCGCTCAGGAAAGAAAAGGAAATTCAAGCCTACACCCGGAACCTTGAAGAAAATTGCAGCTGAGTCAGATTCTGCCATCCACACTCTGCTGGAAAGATATTTTCCCACGGGCTACATCATTGACAAACCGAGTCTAATGTTAAGGTAGGATAAATAAATACCCACCCAATATCCCATGTAAAGCCGCATACCTATACCCCTCTATAGCAAGGCCAATGGTTCCTTTGGTTTTTTGGTAGTACGAAAGTAGTCCAAGTGATTTTGCACCCCGCCGGGCGCCCCCCGCTAGCCGCTAGCGAATGGCGCCTCACAATTAGTAAAGCCGATATTTGGCCATTGTTTTTTTGGGCACTAATTTATTACTATTTATTATATATAAGTATATATTATTAATAATGATGCTAATAATTGACTGAATCCTGGGCTCATGCTCTTTCACCCATGATGACCCTGATATGAAGCAAACATGAGGTCCATGAAGCCTCATGGATGCAAATCTGGAGCTATCTCATCAAAGTTGACCCCTCCTACTTGAAAAATATATGCAGAAAGTTTCATCAACAAGAACCCCTTAGCCTTATATACAGTATATCATTATATATCGACCATGTGTAAGAACTCGCTCAAATTCCTAGTTTACCTTGTTGACCTATAGGCGTTTTTTTCGGGGTTGTCATTAATTGGCTCGATGAGTTTTTTCTCTGGAAGAAATAATTACACGCTTTCTGGGTGGATGGAGATTTAAGCCTTAAGGTAGTCCCAGCATGTGCGATAAAATGTATCGACTATATATGTCTTTGGTAATGAGCTATTGAAGCTATTGAAGCTATTGGCCTCTAAACTCTCTCTTCTTAGAGAGGTAGAGCTATGGGGATCTTGAAAGATATTGGGATGCACATGAATGCACCAAGACCGTCTCGGGACCAGAAACAATCCACGTTCGAAACGTCTCAGGAAAGTTAAAAAGCTCTTCCTGGCCATGGATGAGAGTGGCGTTTTGACTACCATGATGGGCGTACGTATGCGGTTGTATCCATGATTGGATTAAACTGCGGAGTTGATTTCACCAATAGAGCAACAGAACTCACAGACTCACAGAGTATATATGTTTGAGTTGATTGGGACACATTTGGACTACAATGAATTTGGTACTTTATAGGTAAGATGGATCCATGTAGGTGGGGCACAACTGTTGAATTATTATGACTTATTCCAATCAGGGATGCCAGGGTATGAGAAGGTGTTTGCTGTCCTCATTGATTTCCTTTGGCCCCTTGGGTTTCCATATTCTGAAATCTTTGGATCTCACAGCATACCTTGTGACACGCTCCAGGTGATGGCAACATCAATCTTCAAGAATTTTCGAAGCTGGTAGAGCCTCTCGGCCAAATTTGGCTCGGCATGTGCCTCACCAAGTGGCTGCCTTTGCGTAGCACTGGGAGTGCTGAGGTCTCCGAAACTGAAATTTTGGATGGATCAACTGGAGTTGGAATATTTTGATTTACTAAGCCTCTTTGAGTTCCTGGTTCCTTGCCAGCACAGCGCGGGGAGGGGTGGGTTGCACATACGGGCAAGGTACTCAATTTATCCCTAGATCCTGCAAAATTAACATAGTGCCACACAAGGCGGTGACGGAAGTTTCAAAGACTAAGATATAAACCGTAAACCTATAGAAGAGGTGAGTCAAGGCCCTGAGTCTCTCTCTCTCTCTCTATCTTTCTCTATCTGCCTGATTGTCTTTTTGATTGCCTATCTCTCTCACGATCTATCTCCATCTCTATCTATCTCCATCTCTATCTATCTCCATCTCTATCTATCTATCTATCTATCCATCCATCCATCCCTCCATCCATCCATCTATCCATCTATCCATCTATCCATCTATCCATCTATCCATCTATCCATCTATCCATCTATCCATCTATCCATCTATCCATCTATCTGTCTATCTGTCTATCTATCTATCTATCTATCTATCTATCTATCTATCTATCTATCTATCTATCTATCTATCTATCTATCTATCTCACTGTCTCGATCTATCTATCTGTCTGTCTGTCTATCTATCCATCCATCCATCCATCCAGCCATCTCTCTCACTGTCTCGATCTTTCTATTTGTGTATCTAGCTATCTCCCTATCTATCTTTCTATCTATCTATCTGTCTTTCTGACTATCTATCTATCTATCTATCTATCTACCTATCTATCTATCTATCTATCTGTCTGTCTGTCTGTCTATCTGTCTATCTGTCTATCTGTCTATCTGTCTATCTGTCTATCTGTCTATCTATCTATCTATCCAATCAAATCTAATCTAATCTAATCAAATTTAATCTAATCTAATCTAATCTAATCTTATCTATCTATCTACCTATCCTATCCTATCCTATCCTATCCTACCCTACCCTACCCTACCCTTCCCTACCCTACCTATCTATCTATCTATCTATCTATCTATCTATCTATCTATCTATCTATCTATCAATCATTATCTATCTATCTATCTGTCTGTCTGTCTATCTATCTATCTATCAATCTATCAATCTATCAATCCTCCTGCCATTTTCCTTATAAAATGGAGGTACCTAGGTACCGGTTAAGACCTAAATTTTAGTTGGCTATTTTTCTGTGACATAGCCTATACAGGTTGGGAACCCATTTTATAGAGAGGGTATCTTGTATTCAGATGTTTGTTTTGGAGGAGGCTCATCTTGTGACATGTTTTTTTGATTTTATAGAGGGAGAACCTGCCATTATGATGCCCATTTGTATCATATAATTTTTGATTATTCCCCACCTGCCAGGTGAGGGTTGTTAGATTTTATGTCAGTTGCCTGGTCCTCCTCCTTCTCCTCTCCTCCCTCCTCCTCTCGTTGTCCTCCTCCTCTCGTTGTCCTCCTCGTCCTCCTGCTCAACTGCGACTCGCGATCCACAGTGTTCTCTGTCGGACCTCAACCACGACCATCCACGCCCAGTGTTCCCTGCCGGACCTCAACCACGACCATCCACGCCCAGTGTTCCCTGCCGGACCTCAACCACGACCATCCACGCCCAGTGTGCCCTGCCGGACCTCAACCACGACCATCCACGCTCAGTGTTCCCTGCCGGACCTCAACCACGACCATCCCCGCCCAGTGTTCCCTGCCGGACCTCAACCACGACCATCCACGCCCAGTGTTCCCTGCCGGACCTCAACCGCGAGTATCCACGCCAAGTGTTCCCTGCCGGACCTCATGTAGGAAGATATGGGACAAAGAATGTGCAGAAGAAAGTTAGAAAGAATGTCAGAAAGAATGTCAGAAGATATGCCAGAAGATATGCCAGATAGAATGCCAGAATAGAATGCCAGATAGATATGCCAGATAAGATATGCCAGATATGCCAGAAGATATGCCAGATAGAATGCCAGATAGATATGCCAGATAGATATGCCAGATAGAATGCCAGAAGATATGTCAGATAGAATGCCAGAAGATATGTCAGAATATATGCCAGAAGATATGCCAGATAGAATGCCAGAAGATATGTCAGATAGAGTGCCAGAAGATATGCCAGATAGAATGCCAGAAGATTTGCCAGATAGAATGCCAGAAGATATGCCAGATCATATGCCAGAAGATATGCCAGATAGAATGCCAAATAGAATGTCAGAAGATATGTCAGATAGAATGCCAGAAGATTTGCCAGTAAGAAAATGTATAAATGTCATGGTGGGGATCACACGAAGTAAAGTAATTTTTCGATTTTATTGGGAATGAACTGTGGTCATGAACCAACACCTCGACGCACGTTCTTGCAACTGCATTTTTTGAGGCCCATGGGGAAAGGGTCTGATATGATGTGTAGTGTAATGCAAGAATCATACACTTTCTGATCACTTCCAAAATCAAATCAGGTATTTAAAGATCATTTTGATCTAGATTTTTGAGGCATCAAAAAAAAGGAAGGTTGTCTTGAGATTAGTAGGTCCCTATCATTCCACTATAAAATCATTAAAATCCAAAACCAGGTCAAATTTGGGATCCCCAAAAACACCTCCAAAAAAGCACCTTTTGCAAGCCCAAAATCTGGTCCATGATTTTATAGAGCCAAAAGTTGGCAACTTAACAGAATTAACACTATGGAAGTTGGTAACTCATGTCCCCCATTTTATAGTAGATCTTCTTATGTTGGGGTTCTAGACCACATAGTGTTTGATTTTATAGAGCATAAACCTACCACTCTTCATATTATAGAAAGACAATTCTATAGAGACCACCTAGGTACCCTCTATAAAATGGAGGCTCCTTGGGTTCCCCATAGAAACTGCAGGGGGATTAATTATCTATCTATCTATCTATCTATCGATCGATCGATCTATCGATCGATCGATCTATCGATCTATCGATCTATCGATCTATCGATCTATCGATCTATCGATCTATCTATCTATCTATCTCACTGTCTCGATCTATCTATCTGGTTGTCTGTCTGTCTGTCTGTCTATCCATCCATCCATCCATCCATCCAGCCATCTCTCTCACTGTCTCGATCTTTCTATTTGTCTATCTAGCTATCTCTCTATCTATCTTTCTATCTATCTATCTATCTGTCTGTCTGTCTATCTATCTATCTATCTATCCCATCTATCTAATCAATCTAATCTATCTAATCTATCTATCCATCTATATATTGATCTATCTATCTATCCATCTATCCAACTATGCGTTTCTATCTAATCTATCCTAATCTATCCTATCTATCCTATCTATCCTATCTATCTTATCTATCCATCTATCCATCTATCCACCTATCCATCTATCCATCGATCCATCTATCCATCTATCGACCTATCGATCTGTCTATCTATCTATCTACCTATCTATCTGTCTATCTATCTATCTATCTATCTATCTATGTACCTACCTATCTATCTATCTATCTAGCTATCTAGCTATCTAGCTATCTAGCTATCTAGCTATCTAGCTATCTAGCTATCTAGCTATCTAGCTATCTATCTATCTATCTGTCTATCTATCTTATCTCTCTTATCTATCTTATCTATCTTATCTATCTTATCTATCTTTCTTATCTTTCTTATCTATCTTATCTATCTTATCTATCTTATCTATCTTATCTATCTTATCTATCTATCTATCTATCTACCTATCTATCTATCTATCTATCGATCTATCTATCTATCTCTCTCTCTATCTATCTATTTATCTATCTATCTATCTATCTACCTATCTATCTCTATCTATCTATCTATCTATCTATCTATCTATCTATCTATCTATCTATCTATCTATCTATCTATCTATCTATCTATCTATCTATCTATCTATCTATCTATCTATCTATCTATCTAATATATCTATCTATCTATCTATCTATCTATCTATCTATCTATCTATCTATCTATCTATCTATCTATCTATCTATCTATCTATCTATCTATCTATCTATCTATCTATCTATCTATCTATCTATCTATCTATCTAATCTATCTATCCATCTATATATTTATATATCTATCTATCCATCTATCCAACTATGCGTTTCTACCTAATCTATCCTAATCTATCCTATCTATCCTATCTATCCTATCTATCCTATCTATCCATCTATCCATCTATCCACCTATCCATCTCCATCGATCCATCTATCTATCTATCTATCTGTCTATCTATCTATCTATCTATCTATCTATCTATCTATCTATCTATCTATCTATCTATCTATCTATCTATCTATCTATCTATCTATCTATCTATCTATCTATCCATCCACTAGTCAATTCCTCATTCTATCTGTCTATATCACTGACACACGGCAATTCTGCAAGAGGACAATCAAAAGTTGGAGTTGACAACTCGAAAACGAAGCAACTGCAAAAGTAAGAAATTCTGAAAAAAGCTCGAAGTTGACACCCTCAAAAACGAAGCAATTCTGCGAGACCTCCTTCAAACATGGCAAGTTGAGTGCAGAGCTGACGGCCCCCATACCAAGGCGCTTTGCGATTTTTCCACTCCATCCAGATCATCGGATGTGTTGCACCTGTCACGCAAAATCATCTTAGGAAACCTGCAGATCCGATGCTCCAAAATGCAACCCTTCTCAGGAAATCTGCGCCCTGAGCTCTTGACATGTTTGATGGAAATGCCTCTTGTGAACGCCTGCCAGGTGTAATGCATGTTTGCAGATCCTCTTCAGGTGTCCCATGCCTGCCATCGTTTTTTTAATTGCTACAAAGCTCACACGTTTAGCTCAATCTTGTGAAGGTGCAGAATCCATTGCGCCTGCCACGAGGAATGACGATTGAACGTCCAAAAGCGATGCGAACATGTGATGCGTTTACCATTTTGCCTTGCGAAGGTGCTTTGCCACAACCGCGTGCACTTTTTCGACATCTCAACTTCCAAAAGTGCTCTGAGAATGAAAGGTTTGAACGTCCAAACGTATTTCGCACCACAGCCAGGTGCAGTTTTGGCGTACTTCAACTTCCAAAAGTGTTCTGATCCCGCAGCATTTTTAACATTTTGACTTCGGCATGTGCTTCGCACCACAACAGCGTGCACTTTCTGGGCACCTCAACTGCCCAAAGTATTCC